CTTTTGAAGTGTCTTCCTTGACTTTTCCCAGAAATTGATTCCCAGTAATTGCTAGTAGGCCCCTTGGTGATGCAGCAGGTTAAACCGCTGAACTGCTGAACTTGCTGACCAAAAGGTTGGTAGTTCGAATCTGAGTGGGATGAGCTCCTGCTGTTAGCCCCAGCTTCTGCCAACCTAGCAGTTCGAAAACTTGCAAATGTGAGTAGATCAATAGGTACCGCTTCTGTGGGAAGACAGTGGCGTGCCATGCAGTCATGCTGGCCACATGACCTTGGAGGTGTCTATGGACCACACCGGCTCTTTGGCTTAGAAATGGAGATGAGCACCAGAGTCAGACATGACTAGACTTAATGTCAGGGAAACCTTTACTACTTAATTGCTAGTAGTATGGTATCAACTGTGTATCTTAAATTGTGTTCGTTTAGTTAATATTCACATATAATTCCCCCACATGTTCTGTGATTAAGGCAAATAGATAAGGTGATAAAATGCACTCTTGACTGGCCCTGTGGCCAATGGGAAACCATTCTGTTTCCCCATATTATTTCCTAACAATGGCCTCTTGTCTTGATTACAGGTTACTTATCAGGGCAATAAAATATTTGGCACACCCATTTTTGTTAGAGCAGTTCATAGTTCATATTCAATGTCAACTCACACAGGATTGCTGTACATACCCATTGGTAAACTGTATACTGAACTTATCCAGTTCACACTCCTTTGTTCAGCTTCTTGGTTTCTGATATGAAGCAGCCCCTTCTCTGCCACTTCAATTGCACCCATTGCCTTATTTTACATTTGCTTTGATATTTTCTTGCTCCATTTCTCAGGCTATGGGATCCTATTGCCATATACAGGCAGTCCCCAAGTTACGAACAGAATAGGTTCTATACGTTTGTTCTCAAGTGGAATTTGTATGTAAGTCGTGTTGGGGGAAGCAACCTTGTCGAGCCCCTTCTATATGATGCTTGTCTATTTTGTAATGTGTAGTTTTATAACCTGAAGTATATGTCATTTGATTTGAAGTTTCCTTATGTCTCTATACCTAAAGCAGTGGGAGGGGCTGCAGATCACATGACTGACTCAGTGACAGTTTAGAACAGGGGTCCTCAAACTTTTTAAAGAGAGGGCCAGGTCACAGTCCCTCAAACTGTTGGAGGGCCGGATTATAATTTGGAAAAAAAACACAAATGAATTCCTATGCACACTCCACATATCTTTAGTGAAAAAAAACTTTTAAACAATACAATAATTAAAATGAAGAACAATTTTAACAGATATAAACTTAACAGATATAAACGTATTAGTATTTCAATGGGAAGTGTGAGATAGGATTGTTGTTATTGTGTGCTTTCAAGTCATTTCAGACTTAGGTTGACCCTGAGCAAGGGCCGGGTAAATGACCTTGGAGGGCCGCATCAGGGCCCCGGGCCTTAGTTTGAGGTCCCCTAGTTTAGAATGTTCAGTTTAAAGAGGATGACAGTTAGGGAATGTCAGTTGAGGAATGACTGTTAGAGAAGCATGTTGTGCCTAGAATGAGCTTGCATATAGAAGTCTGTCAGAGTGCAGAAGTTCATGTTAGGAAGTTAGAAACTGTTGAGGCTTATGTTTTATTTGAAAGTCAATTCTTATTAAAGAGAGCTGTATAAAGCAACATAGTTTATGAAGAAACTATGAAAGATTATAAGCTAAAGATACAAACCCTCTGAAACATTACTGAAGTTTTTAACCCTCACCAAGATATGTGCCTGTATCTTTAAACACATGAAGTTATCAGTAAACAAAACTCTCCTTGTTATCCTTAAAAAGAAGTCTGCTTGCATCATTGTCTGCTGAAAGCATCAAACAGAAATGAAATATCTACATGCCCAGTGATCATCTATTACTGAGTAAACTCTGCTACCCTGATTAAGTTGTGATCCAAACAGTTCATGATCTATACTAGGGGTCCTCAAACTAAGGCCCAAGGGCCAGATACAGCCCTCCAAGGTCATTTACCCAGCCCTCGCTCAGGGTCAACCTAAGTCTGAAATGACTTGAAAGCACACAACAAAAACAACAATCCTATCTCATCAGCTAAAAGCAGGCCCACACTTCCCATTGAAATACTATTAAGTTTATATTCATGTATTTATTTATTTACACATTTATATGCCGTCCTTCTCAGCACGAAGGGGACTCAGAGCGGCTTACAAGGTATATATACATACAATATATTATTTATCATAGAACAATATCAGTTTTAAATATTACTATATTGCACTATATCAATATAGTAATATTACATGTAATATAAATATATAATTATAATATATTTAGTAGTATTATATTGCATTACATTACAATATTATAAATATTATATGTATACACAATATATTATATATTATATTATAACATATTATTAGAATAGCACAGGAGACAAGGTGGAACTGTCCCCTGGCCCCCCTTTCTTCACTCCGGCTCATTGTAATTATTGTATTATTTTAAAGTGTTTTTGCACTACAAATAAGATATGTGCAGTGTGCATAGGAATTCATTCATATTTTTTTTCAAATTATAATCCGTCCCTCCAGCAGTTTGAGGGACTGTGACCTGGCCCTCTGCTTAAAAAGTTTGAGGACCCCTAATCTATACCCTGATGGTCAGTGATCCTAACAGATCATGATCCATTATCGCCAATAAGTCAGAGCAGGTACATTTTGTAACTGTAACTTCAGTCAAATATATATAGAGGGGGGGGGGAGAGAAGAGTGAGAAAAGATAGAATAGGGAAGAGCTAATACCCCTGTGATGTTTGTTTTGCTGTCTGTGCCCCTTGCCTCACTTTCTGCCCCTGTGAAAAATTTGCTGTGTGGTGGAAACAAGTATTTTTTTTATTGATACATCAATTCAGTTAACAAACTTTTGCCATACAGTCTTAATATACATTATTTCAAAAGCCACTTTGCCTGAATTGCTTTATATACTCGTTACCCATGCCCTCGTTGGAAACAGGGATTGGTGAGAACGCTTCAGTGGCAAAACCTTTTTCCATGATAACTTTTCCAAGAGTGAATGTCCATTCTGGGGGATAGATTTCTCTCATCCCATTCTTAACTATGAATCATTTGTAAGTCTGGTGTTTGCAACTCAGAGACCACCTGTACCTGTGCTTGTCCCCATCCCTTATTGTGGCTGTATACATAGTTTTTTGCTCTCCTTCCCTTCTCTGATTTTGGTGCCTCAGACTTCATTCCTTCTGTGGGGCTCTGTGCCATGCCGTACCCTTCAACGTTGTCATGAAGATAAAGAAATCAGACACTATAATCTTCTTACATTTATTTCCAGCACTCAAAGTAATGCCCATAATGTACTGTTTATATTGATACATCAGTTGACATCATTTATAAGTTGAGGCAGGGTTTGGGGCCAACATTATGAATTTTGAAATGCCCTGTCCACCATTTTTCCCTTTCAGGCATTCAGAAAGGTACCATGGCAGAGAGGATAGAGGAGGTCAATGCTTATTTTAACTTCTCATTAGAACTCTGAAATCTGGCCTTTTGCTTTTTAGGGAAGGAGGTGGCTCCCTTTTTAAATGTACAGTACTCATATTGACCAGTGGATAAGTCGACCCTGGTTTTTATGGTCAGTTGTGGAGCTGCAGTCGTGAACTGGGGCTTAAAGAAATGTATGAAGCACTGCAAAGACCACAGCTTTTGTAATCTCCAACTGTCATGGAGAGGCCCAAGGAATTTTATTATTAGTGACTCTGTTTAGCACTGGAATAACAAATATTGCTCAAATTAAACCCACACATGTTCTCAAAAAAGTGGAATTTAAAAACCATTTAAATGAGAAAAATTAAAACCTTATAGCAGTTTCTTTTAAAATGCCTAGAAAAGCACAAGAATGTAAGAAATGGGACTCACGTGCAATAGAAAGTCTTGAATTGCCCAAGAAGAGATAACTGTGGAAATAGCAGATGGTTGAATTAATAAGGACTTTGAAACTCTGATAAGTAATATTGACCACTGATAAAAAAAACAAATTATTCGTGCATAATCATAAAAATAGTCGAATAATTTTTAAAAAAGATAATGCTAGAGACCGATATGGCCTCTTATATTAAAGTGATATGGAAGATCAAAGCTGACTGAGAAGTTCCTACTTTTAAGGCCAGCTGAAGAGAAATAAAAGCCACTTGTAAGCTGCAGAATAGAGCAGGTAAAGATTGCCACGGGCTGAGTACTGAAGTCACTGAGTACAGAAGTCAAGAATTATAGAGCAAAAAGGTATAAATGGATTGATCCATTTGAGAAAGTCAACATCAGTAGCCAAACACAAACAGAGGACCAGTGGACACAGTCAGGGTCTTTATACTTTCATCAGCAGGACCCTACTCCACTTGGCCACTAGAATAGTGTGCATGATAAGTATCAGGATATAAAGGATGGAACAATGTCTGCTTAATCTGTCAGAAATATTAAAAGTTAAGTGGGTATTTTTGATTACAAAAGTGTGAGTCAAGCACTGAAAGAGTTAGTAGGCTGAAGCCTGTTAGAGTTAGTGGGCCAGTGCTAGTTTGTCGCCCTGAGGAGTGTTGGGTTTGTAGTTTAGGAAGGAGCCTTTAACAGCCTCATTAAATTACAAACCCCAGAATTCTGCAGGAGGTGGAAACCGTGGATTTTTCTCTCTCCTGTGATGAAGTAGTAGGTAGTTAAAAGTCAATTATTTGAAGTAGAGTAGACAAGTCCTCTGGTTCCCATTACAAGAAATGATAAGTTTTTATTCCCTGTAGCTTCTGAGAACTTTAGTAGGAGTTGGCCCTAGAAGAAAATAGAAGTTCCGTTGGGGAACTAGTAAAAGTGGAGGAACGTCCCTGGAAGGAAGAATGCCTTCGCTTTCCATTCATTACCTGACTTGTAATTTTATTGGGAAATGAAAGCAACGAGGGAGCCGCCCGCCCTGAAAGGCGCTTCCTGGAACCAGTGACGCTCATTTCTCAGACACTGGCTTATGCAAATTAGACCGTTCTGATTGGGCAGCCGGTGGGACGGAAAGGGCGCGCGGCGGCGTGGGTGGCATCTATTGGTGACAACGCGAAGCCCCTTTGGAGACCCAGGCAGGTGAGAGGGGCAACCTGTCTGGACTGGAGGGGAATCCTTCGCCCAGGAGTCTGTTTCCCTCCGGCTCCAGAGAGAGCCGGAAGCAGGCCCAAGAGTGTGGGCCACATGGGCGGGGGAGAGAGGGCCTTACATCTACGCAAGCTTGGGCCCTCGAGGTGTTTTGGACTTCAACTCCCGCCATTCCTAACAGTGTCAGGCCTTTTCCTTTTTCCCCTCAGCCGCTTAAGCTAAAAGGAAAGGGCCCGAGGCTATTAGGAATTTGAAAAATATACAAAATACTTCTTATCTCAGCATTTTGAATAAGGTATAACCTGAATCTATAATATAATTTATTAATATAATGTATATACATGTAATATTTTAATATTCTAATGTAATGCAATATAATACTAATAATAATCTATTATAATTATATATTCGTATTACATGTAATATTACTAAAAATATTACAATATAATGGTATAGTAAAATATAGTAATATTTAATACTGATATTGTACTATATTAATAATATAATATATTGTATGTATATACCTTGTAAGCCGCTCTGAGTCCCCTTCGGGGTGAGAAGGGCGGCATATAAATGTCACAAATAAATAAATAAATAAATAAGTCGAAAACACCTCAAGTTGACCCGTGTACTCCTGCAATGTTTTTAATAATGTGCCTGAAGCAGAGTTTGTGTACCCCGAACCACCAGCAAGCCAAAGTATCACTAATATTTGAGACACCCACAAGGACAATTTTGGAGTATTTTGGATTTGGGAAGCCCAGGTAAAAGATGCTCAACATGTAATGAGCATCGAAAGGGACACTCCAGACAGGATTATGGCTTGCTGCATGCATTCTGCTTTGCCAAAAGGGCTTCAGAGGAAACATCCATTGCAAAGCAGCAGTTTCTTCTAGCAGTAAACAGGGATTTCTGTGCTTCGGTGGGATTATCTTACTTTGAAGCAGCCAGTCAGCCCAGTTATCTGGGAGACCACAGCTATTTGCTTATCTTCTCTCCAAGCATCTGTTTAGATCAGGGGTCCTCAGACTAAGACCCGGGGGCTGGATACGGCTCTCCAAGGTCATCTAACTGACCCTCGCTCAGGGTCAAACTAAGTCTGAAACAACTTAAAAGCACACAACAACAACAATAACATTCCTATCTCATCAGCCAAAAGCAGGTTCACACTTCCCATTAAAATACTATTAAGTTTATAGTTGTTAAAATTGTTCTTCATTTTAATTATTGTATTGTTTTTAAGCGGGGGGTTTTTTGCACTACAATTCAAATTATAAGTCGGGCCTCCAACAGTTTGAGGGACTGTGACCTGGCCCTCTGTTTTAAAAGTTTGAGGAGCCCTGGTTTAGATCATTGTTCTCAACCTGTGGGTCCCCAGATGTTTTGGCCTTCAACTCTCAGAAATCCTAACAGCTGGTAAATTGGCTGTGATTTCAGGGAGTTGGAAGCCAAAACACCTGGGACTCACAGGTTGAGAACCACTGGTTTAGATGGATTGGGAAGCAGGATGGAGTAGGAAAATTGTAGCCCTCAAACAACACCTTTGATGGCTTTGATTATTTACAAACAAGTATTGCTATGTTAGCCATAATACCCATGCAACACTTAAATGAGTTGATTCTCTTCTTGTCAGCTCTCATACATAGAAATCAAAATATTATGGCATTGATGATCCTGAATTTGGTGTACAATGATATAGGTCTACAATTGAGGATCTTCATGGATGTCTTCCCAAGTTTTAGTCTTTTGATTCCTTGACTACAATCTCCATTTATAACTCAGCAGTAATCTTGGAAAGTGTTTAATTATATTGATGTTTTCATCATCTATTTTTCAATTCTGTAAATCATATGTTGTTATTATTTTGGTGTTTTCATGCTCAACTGCAGCCTTGCTTTTGAAGTGTCTTCCTTGACTTTTCCCAATAATTGCTAGCAGTATGGTATCATCTGCATACCTTAAATTGTTTGTGTTCATTTCAGTAATTTTCACAAACTCTTCCCCCAAGTGTTCTGTGATTAATCAGACAGATCAGGAAGATAGACACTGTTGAGGTTTGTGTTTTATTTGAAAGTAAACTCTTATTAAAGAGAGCTGTATAATGCAACATAGTTTATTTATTTCCTTCGTTTCTACCCTGCCTTTCTCCCACAAGGGGACTCAAGGTGGCTGAGTTTATGAAGAAACTGTTAAAGATTATAAGTTCAAGATACAAACTCTCGGAAATGTTACTGAAGTTTTTAACCCTCACCAAGACATGTGCCTGTATCTTTGAATACATGAAGTTATCAGTAAACAAAACTTGCTATCCTTAAAAAGAAGTCTGCTTGCATCATTGTCTGCTGAAAGCATCACTCAAAAACAAAATATCTACATTCCCACCAATCATCCATTACCAAATAAACTCTGCTACCTTGGTTAGGTTGTGATCCTAACAGGTCATGATCAATACCCCAATGGTTAGTGATCCTAACAGGTCACGATCGATACTCCAATGGTCAGTGATCCTAACAGGTCATGATCTTATACCCCAATGGTTAGTGATTCTAACAGGTCACGATTGATACCCTGATGGTTAGTGATCCTAACAGGTCATGATCAATACCCCGATGGTTACTGATCCTAACAGGTAATGATCCATTACCCCAATAAGTCAGAACAGGCACATTTTATAACTATAACGCCAGTCAAATATATATGTGTGTGTGTGTGTGTGTGTGTGTGTGTGTGTAGAGCGGGGGGGGGGGGGGGAGTAAGTGAAGAGTGCTTTTGATATAATAGGGAAGAATTAACACCTCTGCTGTTTTGCTGTCTGCGTCCCTATTCAGGAGATCTCACTTCACTTTCTGTCCCTGTGGGATTTGGATTTTGAAAAAGGATTGGTGGTTTTTTATTGTTAAATTAATTAAATTAACAAACTTTTGCCATACAGTCTTAACTCGATATACATTATTCCAAAAGTCAGTTTACCTTATTTGAATCTTTATATATTCCTTAGATGTGTATCACCCATTACCCATGCCATCCTTGGAAACAAGGATTGGTGAGAAAGCTTCAGTGGAGACACTTCCAGGAGTGAATGTCCATTCTGGGGGATAGATTTCTCTCAGCCCCATTCTTAACTATGAGTCATTTGTAAGTCAGGTGTTTGCAACTCAGAGATGTCTGTACCTACTTGTCCCCATCTCTTATTGTAGCTATGTATGTACATAGTTTTTTTGTTCTCCTTCCTTTCCCTCATTGTGGTGCCTCAGACTTCATTCCTTCTGTGGGGCTCTGTGCCATGTCCAACCCTGCAAAGTTGTCATGAAGATAAAGAAATCTAGACACTAAAATAATCTTAAAACATTTATTTTCAGCACTCAAAGTAATGCCCATAATGTACTGTATATACGCATATATCAGCCAACATTATTTTTAAGTTGAGGCAGAGTTAGGGGCCAAAATTATGAATTTTGATATGCCAAAGGTCATTCCACATGAAGGGTAAAGCACTAATGCTGCCTCAGGAGGTCARCTCTGTCCACCATTTTTTCCCTTTCAGGCATTCGGAAAGGCAACTAGCAATACCATGGCAAAGAGAATAGAGGMGGTCAATGCTTATTTTAACTTCTCATTGGAAGTCTGAGATCTGGCCTTTTAAATGTACAGTCCTCATATTGACCAGTGGATAAGTCGACCCTGGTTTTTATGGTCAGTTGTGGAGGTGCAGTAGTGAACTGGGGCTTAAAGAAATGTATGAAGCACTGCAAAGACCACAGGTTTTGTAATCCCCAACTGTCTTGGAGAGGCCCAAGGAATTTTATTATTACTGACTCTGTTTGGCACTGGAATAACAAATATTGCTCAAATTAAACCCACACGTGTTCTCAAAAAAGTGTKTTTTTTTAAAAAAAAAACCATTTAAATGAGAAAAATTAAAACCTTATAGCAGTTTCTTTTAAAATGCTTAGAAAAACACAAGAATGGAAGAAATGTGTCTCACGTGCAATAGAAAATCATGAATTGCCCACGAAGAGATAAGTGTGGAAATAGCAGGTGGATGGATTAATAAGGACTTTGAAACTTCGATAAGTAATAGAGACCGCTGATAAAGAAAAAACAAATTATTCATCCATCATCATAAAAAAAGAGTCCAATATTTTTTTAAAAAAAGATAATGGCCAGCTGAAGAGAAATAAAAGCCACTTGTAAGTTGCAGATAGAACAGGTAAAGATTGACATGGGCTGAGTACTGAAGTCACTGAGTACAGAAGTCAAGAATTATAGAGCAAAAAGGTAAGTCAACAACATCAGTAGCCAAACACAAACAGAGGACCGGTGGGTCTTTATACCCTACTCCACTTGGCTACTAGAATAGTGTACATGTTAAGTATCGGGATATAGATTATGGAAAGATGTCTGCTTAATCTGTCAGCAATATTAAAAATTACTTCGATATTTTTTATTACAAAAGTGTGAGTCAAGCACTGAAAGAGTTAGTAGGCTAAAGCCTGTTAGAGTCAGTGGGCCAAAGCTAGTGTCGTCCTGAAGAGAGCGAAGAGCATGAGGTAAACCTTTGTGTGAGAGAAGCCTTGTGTGAGAAAGCTCCAGCATGAAGGCTGCTGCATGTAAAGCGACTAATCTACTATTATTAAAGAAATATTAAAGAGCATGACTGGTGTAAGAAATATTTTATGTTTTCCTGGCCATAAAAATCTTTTAGGCCTAGAGTTGATCATCTGATTTAGGAGTAAGTCAACAGTTTGTCCTTCACGGCTGACATCTCTCCACTAAAGGGAATCCTTGCTTTTTGGTAACTGTAAATGCTGAGAATTAGTTTGACTTTTCAAAAGCTTTTTACTATGTTTCTGTGCCCCAGTGTAAACAACCCTATTTCCCCATTGTGAACGGAGAGCTGGATAATATAGAAGACTAAACTTTGTCTCTTGTGGCTTAAGCAATTGCTTCTTTGATTGTAAGAATAGCAATTTCAATTACGAACTTCCTTTCACACTCATTTGTTTACGTAAGTATATCACATAGTGGTTTGCCACCCACAAATCATCAGCACTGAAAAGCAGTGTCAGAAATTGTTTCTTTTGTAGGATAGGATCAGCATTGCCTGTTTAACTATTAAGAGAATCCCATAGTGCGGCAAAACTGCCATTTGCATGAAGTCCAAAGGAGTGGATCAGCGACAAATTGAATAGGAGAGGATAGTCCTGCAGTCATTGGATAGTCCATGCCTGTATTGCTTATGCCCACTGTAGGTATCATTCACATGCAATATTTTACAAGAGCATCCATTGCTTGCAGTCTTATTCATTATATTCTTATGTTTAAACATCACTGTATTTCTATAGTTGAATAACATGCATAAGGGTTGGGCTGTAAAATAATAATCAAAGCAGCTTACAACAAAATAAAACACAGCGGCAAACATTCAATACTGAGGGTAACATATAACAAATCAAAAACAAGCTCAATAAAATTATAAAAACCAATTTAAATAAGACGTAATACAATCCACACAGTTTGTAAGCTTTAGAATGAACAGGAAAGTGAACCTGATTGCTAGCAGAGTAAATTACTATATGCTTTATCCTGTGACAAACATATTCTGTTTTTTTATGGTGTGTCAAATTATGATGAAATATATTCATAGACTAACAAGACTATAAAACCTTTATCAATGTCTTTTTATTAGGTCTGGATTTTAAATAGTTTATTAGTTAAAATGTAATTTCTAGTTTTGTGATGTCTAATTTGTTGCAATGTTTTATTATTGCTCGATGTCGATGTTTAATGTGTTATTATTTGTGTTATCTTAAATTATTTCTTTGTTGTTTACATTTTACGGCAATGAATGTTTGCCGCAATATGTTGTTTACCGCCCTGAGTCCCCATTGAGGAGATAGAGTGAGGTAGAAATATAGATGATGATGACGATGATGATGATGATGATGATTGACAGCAATTATCTTTATTCAGATATATAACAACATGGAAGCATTCTTGAGCCCAAAAGAATCTGCCAAGTTCATTGCTGAAAATAGCAAAGATGTGTACATTGAAGCTGATGGCGTGCAGAAAGTGGCTGAGATGTTATTTGATAAAGTCATGGAGAAGGACTTTAGCGTGGCTGGATGGAAGTCTTCTCATGAGCTGAATCCTCAAGCAACAAATGAAGATGCAGTCAATTGGGTATTCCTTTCTGATGCCCTCAATTTTTCCTTTTGGTCTGAACATGAGGATCATAAATGCCTGGTGAAGTACAAAGGCAAAGCATACAGTGGTTTCTGGTCTCTTTGCGCTGCCATCAACAGAGCACTTGATGAGGGTTAGTTCCTACTTACTTTCCAAATTAAATGAGAACTTTTGGATTAGTGAAACTGGTTTAAGACAGTGAAGGGCACATTTATGAATCTCCAGATGTTGTTATTGTCATTTCATATTCTATCATATTCCCTGCATGAGGACTCGAGAAATCTCCAGGTGCTGTTGAAATGCAAGTTGCATGTTCCCCACCATTGGCTATGCTGGCTTGCAGCTCAACATCTGACCGGTTACACAGTTGTAATATTCAAAACTCAGTTCAAGGCAGAATTTTGATGGGTTGCTCAATTATGTAGTTTGAATTTAGATTCAGATTCTATGGTGTTATTTCTGAACAGGATTGGCTTGTTATTCATAATATAGGATGGTGAATCATAAGGTCCAAGGATCAAGCTGTAATATGATTATGTAATATGAAATTACTCAAAAGTATCCATAGGAGCCAACCTCAGAATACAACTGCAACATATACTCTAAGTACAGGTAATTTTTCCCCTATCTAGCTGAGACCTCCTCACCAAAATTCCTCATGTGACTATAGTATTAATTAATTAAGCCCTTCTAATGGTAATAATGCAAGTTTTTTGTTTTGATTTTTTAATTACTATAGCTGACACTTGTGGGGGGGGGGGTATGGAGGAATTCTGGTTGTAGCTAAGGAGAAAAGGATTAAGATAAAGGTAAAGGTTTCCCCTGACATTAAGTTTAGTTGTGTCTAACTCTGGGGGATGGTGTTCATCTCCATTTTTAAGCCGAAGAGCCGGCATCATCCGTAGAAACCTCCAAGGTCATGTGGCTGGCATGAGTGCATGGAGTGTTGTTACCTTCCCACTGGAGCGGTACCTATTGATCTACTCACATTTGCATGTTTTTGAACTGCTCGGTTGGCAGAAGCTGAGGCTAACAGCGGGGCTAACATCCCACTCCTTGGATTCAAACCACCGACCTTTTGGTCAGCAAGTTCAGCAGTGTAACCCGCTGCACCATCGGGGGATTAGGAGAAGGATTAAATCTTGATAACATTGTTTTATTATCCTCTATTTTTAATTTTATTTGCTAAGAAGTTTATCTTGAACACAGAAACAATAAACAAGAAATAATATAATTGAACCAAATAGAAATAAAATCAGTTTGTTTTATTATGAGGTAAGCTGACAAAGTAGACTTTTGCTCTAGTAATTGTGACTGTAAACTGAATTACTTGGTAGTCAAGATATAAATAAATAACACTCCATTGTTGCATGGTTGTTATTTTACTTTTTTAAAGGGTTGCCCATTACAAGTGCTTCCTATTATGCAACTATAACACTGGAGCAGGTGAAGCATATATTTCGCTCGGATACAGATGTCCCCATGCCGTTACTTGAAGAAAGGCATCGAGTATTGAATGAGACCGGGACTGTTCTCCTGGAGAAATTTGGAGGCTCTTTCCTCACTTGTGTTAAGAAAAGTGAAAAAAGTGCCCAGAAATTGTTGCAACTAGTAGTAGAAAATTTCCCATGCTTTAGAGATGAATCTACATTTCAGGTAAGATTCCTGTGCTTGGAAATATTCTTTGTTGCCTCCTATAATATGTACATCATTACATGTCACAATGCCACCTGGCCATGGTTGTAGCCATTACCTATTTGAGATGAAATATCCATATTCACACTGATTTTCAGTGTAGCACATTTTTATTATCTTTTAATTTCTGCCGAATTTCAGCCCCAGCCAGCATTGCTGCTGGTAAAGAATTCTGGTATTTGCAATTCAACAATATCTTTAAAAACTGCACATTTTCTTCTCCTAATTTAGTCTGATCCTTGAACTGAGCTAGTTTATCTGTACCATTTGTAATGAAAATAAAGTAATATTTTATTATAAAAGCATTGCAATATAGGCACTGTGTTCTGCATCCTTTATTTTGTTTACCATGTCTAATGTGATCTTTAGCATATTCTTTTTTGTGTGCCTCCAACTTAAAACAGCACAGTCACAACACTTTCTTAACAATATTTGTTCAGAGGGCCTTTTGCAAATGTTAACATTTGCACTTGCATGTAATTTGCATCTATTATTATAGTTGCAAAATAAGAGGTTTAGAGTTGTAACAAAAGCATGGTGGCTGCATCTGTTCCCAGTAACGAGAGTGTGTTCATATCGACAACGTAGATTACCACATGCTTGGTTATAACTGTTTCAGATTGCTTCTTTCTGTGAGGCTGTTTCATAGATCAGCCTGACTTGTATCATTGATTTCCATCATATTCCACTTAGGTAGGCAAGGACTGATAGCACAGAGAGGGAGGCTAAAACAGTTATTTGGAGCCAATATCAGAATTTGTTAGGACACTTTTTTATTTATAGTGTCAGAAGCGAATTGAGAATACAGTTATAATGTATAGAAAAACCACAAAGTTAAAAACTTGGCATTATACTAAATTTCCTTTGACCAGAAGTTGGCCACTTCAAGTGACTCTGGTGTCGCTGTAAGAAGGTCCTCCATTGTATATGTGGTAGGACTCAGACTGCATTGTAGTAGGTGATCCGTGGTTTTCTCTTCACACTCGCATATCGTGGACTTCACTTTGTAGCCCAATTTCTTAAGGTTAGCTTTGCATCTCGTGGTACCACAGCACAGTCTGTTCAGTGCTTTCCAAGTCACTGAGTCTTCTGTGTTCCCATGGGAGAGCTTCTCATTTGATATCAACCACGGATTGAGATTCTGGGTTTTAGCCTGCCACTTTTGGACTCTTGCTTGCTGAGGTATTCTTGTGAGTATCTCTGTAGACTTAGGACACTGAAAACTCTCTATAGCAGAGATTCCCAAACTAAGACCCATAGGCCAGATGTGACCCTCCAAGGTCATTTACCCACCCCCCTACTCTAAACTTTAGACTTAGGGTCTCCCTAAGTCTGAAACAACTCAAAGGCACACAAGAACAATCCTAATTAACTTGACAATTTCAGCCCAAAGCAGTTTATTTGTTCAGTTGCTTCCGTCTCTTCGAGACCTCATGAACCAGCCCACACAAGAGCTCCCTGTCAGCGGTTGCCGCTCACAGCTCCTATAAGGTCAAGTCAGGGGTAACATCCATCCATCTTGCCCTTTGTCGGCTCTCTTCCTTTTTCCTTTCATTTTCCCCAGCATCATTATCTTCTCCAAGCTTTACTGTCTTCTCATTATGTGGCCAAAGTACTTCAACTTTGCCTCTAATATCCTTCCCTCCAGTGAGCAGTCAGGCATTATTTCCTGGAGGATGGACTGGTTGGATCTTCTCACGGTCCAAGGCACTCTCAGAATTTTCCTCCAACACCACAGTTTAGAAGCGTCCATCTTCCTTCGCTCAGCCTTCCCTATGGTCCAGCTCTCGCATCCATAGGTTACAACAGGGAATACCATTGCTTTAATTATGTGGATCTTCGTTGCTAGTGTGATGTCTCTACACTTCACTATTTTGTTGAAATTGGTCATTGCTCTCCACCCAAGAAGTAAACATCTTCTGATTTCCCGGCTGCATTCTGCGTCTGCAGTAATCTTTGCGCCTAGAATTACAAAGTCTGTCACTTCCTCCACATTTTTCTCTCTAATTGCCAGTTATCAATCAGTCTGGTTGCCATAATCTTGGGTTTTTTTATGTTTAACTGCAACCCAGTCTTTTCACTTTCTTCTTTCACCTTGGTTAGAAGGCCCCTCAGCTCCTCCTCGCTTTCAGCCTTCAAAGTGTCATCATCTGCATATCTAAGGTTGTTAATGTTTATTCCAATAATTTTTATTTTAAGATAGATATAGATATGTATAAAAACCCAAAGAGCAAACTGAGGGGTATTTATTTAAAAAACAGTTATTTAACAGCAGCTGTCTAATGTTACTTGAAACAACATGTTGCATTCTATAATGTGAGCTGATCAGTCAATTACTTAATAGATCAGCCTAGAATTGGGGAAGGGTAGTGATCCCACCGCTATTGTTTTGGACTGGTTACATATCAGCCTCCCCAATTAGAGGGACTTCCAAAGCCATGGCTTGTCCATTATGTCAGATCTAAAGGGTTTCTACTTTTGTTTCACGATGGAAACATCTAGGTGGTCTCCTTAGCTGCCACCCCATAGAAATACAAAACCCACCAAAACATTTGTTAATGCTTAATGAATAGAAAACTAGCCTAGTTTGCAGGGCTTTAAAATGCATTGGCATAGCTCGCTTTTTTATAAGAAGTACAGAGTGTTTTCCAAGTCCAGGCTTTTCTGAAAGCCGCAGTAATCAATAGCAAAGTGCAGGATAGGAATAAAGCTATGCCCTTTTATGCAATTGGACTGTAATTTTAAGAGAGGGCACTTGACTACTTTCTAGTACCAAGTGGTGTATTCCAAAGGCAGACCAAATTTTCACCATCATTCTAACATAATGGATGCTAGTATTGGTCTGCATTGTCAACCCAGTTTCCCTAGCAACAGATTGAGATCTTACAGATCTTACAAGGCAGAGCTTTGCTCTATGAAAAGAAATAAGAGATGGGATTAAAGTGCTGCAAATTAATTTAATATAACCATTTCAATAATAGTGCATCTGTAAAAAATAATTTCATGCATAATAATATAATGTCATGATCTTAACTATACTGTGTAGAAATCAGCCATGTTGGTTTCAGTGCGATTTCCACATAACTGTTTGAAATGCAACCTTAGGATTTTCTTTGCATTTTACAAGGTATAATACAGGTATTTGAGATTCTGCTCAATCTGTTTCAGTTGTGGGTTTTGTCACCGAAGCACAAGCAGGAAAAGCTAATATTCATATGAGTACTAAGTATTGTATCGAATTTGCATGTCTTGATTGTAGGTAATGAGCAAGAACTTGGACCTAGATTCTTTCTGACAAAGAGAAATGCTGTTTTCATCTGCAGCAGTGCTTTGCTGGTTGAACAGAGGAGAATATGAGTTCTCATTCCCTTCTCCCTCTTTTGTTTTCCCAAACCTGCATCAGAGGCTGTGGCATTCTTGAGAACAGAGGGCTTGAAATTCTTTCCTTCCTCCCTCCCTTCCTCTATTACCTTTATACACCATCTCCCTTTTTATTTAATTATTTCTTCCCTTGTTTTCCCCCATACACCTTCCCCCTCTTCATTCTTTCCTTTCTCTACTTTTCTTCCCTCTTTTTTTCTTTTTCCTCCCCTTTTCTTTCCCTTCCTTCCTTTCTCATTTTTCCTTCCCTCCTTTCATATCTTTTCTACTTTCCTTTTTCTCTGCTCCTGCTTTTCCTCCTTTTCCTTGCTTCCCTGCTCCATCTTTTCTTTCTCCCTTTCTATTTCTTCCTTCCTCTCACAAACATCACCTTTCTTTCTCAATGACATCCCAGATGGCCACTTCCACCAGGAACAGTCTATCCAGTAACATCTCACGGTGAATCTACACTGCCCTGTATCTCAGGATCTGATCCCAGATTATCTGCTTTGAACTGGATTATATAAATATACACTCCCAGATATTTTGAGATAAACAGATAATCTGGGATCAGATCTTTGGATATAGAGCAGTGTGGAAGGGGCCACAGAGGGCTGCTCCACCTAGCATCTTTTTTGTGGTACAAACAGACAAACATACATACTTTGACTTTTATATATGTAAAGGTAAAAGTTTCCCCTGACATTAAGTTTAGCTGTGTCCAGCTCTGGGGGGTGGTGCTCATCTCAATTTCTAAACTGAAGAGCTGGCATTGTCCATAGACACCTCCAAGGTCATGTGGCCACCATGACTACATGGAGTGCCATTAATATATGTAGATTACAAAAAAATACAGCTGCTGTTTTTTTTAAAAAAATGTATTTGCAATCAGTTCACTTCATCTATATAAATTGTGCATATAGGCTGTGATCTATACCTATAGACAGAACTTTTGTGGTTTCTTGACAATATCTGCTTTGGAGGGAAAGTCCTGGTGCCTCTTTACTAAAACATGCCCAGCATTATGATGTTGGTTTGTATTTTTTTCTCTCTCAGGGAAGAAAGGTGGCTTTTTACAAACGGGCCCAAATCCTTGTAGCCGACACATGGAGTGTGTTGGAAGGGAAAGGAGATGGCTGCTTCAGTGACATTTCCAGTGTGACCATCTTTGCCGACTATAGGTTACCACAAGTGCTGGTTCATTTGGGAGCAATGAAGTACTCTGATGAACTGATGAAAAAACTCAAAGAAGGTACGGCACTATTCAGGATCATGATAGCTTCTTATGCTGTACAAGTGTGCATAAATATCCCTTGTGAAGATAACAGAAAAATCTTGACTTTTCAGGATTGATAGTCCTGTGACAGGCAACGTTTTTGAGCCCATGGAAGTTTACAGTTCTATGCAATAGGGTTGGACAGCCACACGTTGTCTGGAGGCTGTATCTACCCCATTTCCCATCCTAGCTAGACACATCCATACAGTTAAAATTAACTGGGTGCTCATTTCACATTTTGAAAAAGGCTGGAGTCAGTGAAAGTATGCCACTTTCCCCCAAATCATATGAGATGGAGAATCACATTCCCTGAAGGGTTCTGTGAGTGCAGTTCTCTATTTGAGGGCTTGATTTTCTTTTCTTTTTTTTATGGTGGTGGGAGGATTGGGCCATGCTGAAGTTCTAAAGGGCCACATGCCATCTCCATAGGTCACAGAATTCTTCTTCTAATATACAACATTATTGTTAGTCTCCAATTTTCATCATCTGTAGCTAAACCATGCCCAATACTGAGGGGTGATCATTCAACATCTAGAAAGCAACAGATTCCCCATGCCTGCTATATACCTTGAGAGTACACTCAGTAGGGTATATAATACTGTGGTTGTCTTCTGAGTTGCTAAACTGAATCTAATAGAAGAAGCAACTCCTTTCATGTTATTCTCTTGATGAAAATTAAAGAAAAAAGGCATATGACTCTAGAAGCGATTCTCCAGAATCTTTTATAGTTTCTAGAATGTACTTGTCCAGTAACGTGGAAAACAGATTCCATACTACTGAATTCCATTCATTTTTTAAAAAATGGATCAGCAAACCACAAGCATGAAGAATTTGCCTTGTGCCAGGACTAAACATGCATCTTTCCAATGCTTCCTTTCAGCACCTAATTTCTAGTTTGAACGGTATGAGATGTTTGTTCGTTTTTTCTTCAACAACCATAGCAGAGAGGAGGGAAGTATTTCAGTAACCAGATGCTTTGAACAGTGACTTTCTTTTGGGTTGAAAATGTGACCGTAAGGAGCTTGCCATACTGTATTGCCCCTCTACAGTTCCAAAGGATGAGAACATTTTTGAAAATAGAGATAAGCTGCAGATGTAAATGTTCAGTGTTTCCATGCAGTTGGTTTCTCTTCAGATCCAGATTTCAGTATAACAATTTATCCCTGATTTTGGAAACCAAGCAAAGTAAGGCTTGATTGGTATTTGGAAGGGAGAGTGTCAAGGAATACCAGAAGCTGTGGAAGGCAATAGCAAAGATGCCTTGCATATTCCTTATTTAAGAAAATCCTATGAGAGTCATGAAGTCACCATAAATTAGTAGGCAGCTTGAAGGCACTGTTATCTAATTAATACATCCTGAAGCCAAGTTGAAGTTTAGTTTCTTGCCAATCTCTTTTTTCACTGATGCCTTTCTTACATCTTATAGGGCAAATGCTCCAGTCTGGAGAGAAGCTGGAGGTGGAAATCCGAGGCTGCTCTATTTGGTGCTGTGAACTCATTTGCAAGCATTTGCTGAACCTTTATAAAAAGAAAGGTGAGGACATCAGTGACAAAATCAACCCTGTTCTCCTGGATTATTATCTGTGGGACTACGCTCGGGATCATCGGGAAGACATGAAAGGAATTCCTTTCCATCGCGTACGGTGCATATACTATTGATACCATTTTTATGAATGATACAACAGTATCAAAATATCTAATTTTTCTATCTACACGTTTGAAATTTGCAAACAATATAAGAGGGAATCTGTATTCTATCTTTGTAATAAGCTGGACAAAAACTTCTGTGCATATTATTACAACAAAGGCATTTTTCTGTCACGCCTACAGTTTTATATATTGCTTCTTATTCTGATTACTTTGTATCACGCTTGACTGTTTTTTTATTAACATACTGAAATTGTGGTATGATTTCCAGCAAGAAATTTTTTTATTCAATAAAAATGGGTAATATAATAAGGTATCTGGAGTCCTATATCATATAATGCAGTGGTTCCCAACCTTTTTTTTTTTTGACCAGGGACCACTCTCCAACATTAGTACCAAAAGAGTTATGAATCCGTTTTTGGTCAACTTTAGATTTGGTTTGGTTATTTCGGGTGCTGATTCAGAAAATTGCATTAGATAGACCACATCAGCTTTAGTTTCTGATACAGAACATATTCCATCCAGTAGTCGCCATCGGCCCACCCACAGAAAACCATATTTAATAAGCCTCGGCCTATAAGAGGGTTTTGTGAGACCAGTCGCTCTAGTTGCAACTGTGTGGTAACGGTGAGGCCGCAGACCATATTTTGGTTCTTGCAGACGACTGGTGGTCCATGGACCGCATGTTAGGAACCATTGATACAATGAAAACATGGAATGTGTATATTTATAATACATTTCCCCAAAATTCTGCAGAATGTTGTCATCAGCTGAGGTAGAATAATTTTGTTATAAAATGGCAATACAAGATACTGAGATGTAGATATATCATTGAATAACATAGCTACAACCATCCATTTCATAATATTTCCTATTTCTATGAATGATTGTGGAAGCTGTACTTCAAAAATTATATAAACAACTCTTTTGAATCCATGACCCTTCAGGGAGATGGTGTGAGGGTATAAATAAAGTTTTATTAAAGTTTTAATATGTCCCCATCAAATCTCCCGTTCATATATATGAACAAACAAGTTAGAGAACAAAACTTAAATAAAAATAATTATGCCATGTAGTGATGGATGAAATGTTTACACATGCTGGAAGTGAATCAAAACACAAATGAATTGATTGGCTTAAAAGTATCCAAAGCCTATAACGAAGCCAAGATGGCCAACCTGAGACTGTAGCACTAAAGTGATTTCATGAGAATACATGCTTTACTAAAAAACATAATAAAGGCACTGTAGACTACTTCAGCCAGAGAAGTCAGCCGTARCAGAGCACCTGATGAACCAACCTGGACACAGCATAACATTTGGGAACACAGAAATGCAGAACCACTCTAACAGCCACCATGTCAGACTACAGAGAAGCCATTGAAATCCATAAGCACGTGGACAATTTCAACAGAAAGGAGAAAAACATAAAAATGAACAAAATCTGGCTACCAGTATTTTTTAAAAAAACCCTCTAAAATCAGGATAGTAAATAACACTAAAAAACAGGGGAATTTCTGACAYGAAACAATCAGGGCCAGCTAACACCTCCCAACAAAGGATTCCCCCAGGCAAGAAGCAGCCAGGCTTTGAAGCGGCAAGGCCATTCAGTACTAATCAAGGTGGCCAATTGCAACATTCACACTTGCCTCAAGCAGACACAGGTTCTTTCTCTCACCCTGGACATTCCAGAGATATATAAACCTCARTTGCCTAGTTTCCAACAGACCTCACAACCTCTGAGGATGCCTGCCACAGATGTGGGTGAAATGTCAGGAGAGAATGCTTCTGGAACATGGCCTTATGCCCAGAAAACTCACARCAACCCAGTGATTCCAGCCATAATACCTTTTGACAACACAAAACAATGCTTGTTAAGGTGGAATGCAGCAGGAAAAGAGGAAGCTTTTAAGACCACTCACACATCAGAATTATAGCACTTTGATGCCACTTTAATTTTCATGGCTGTCCTCTGGAATCTTGGAATTTCTCACTTATTGTGGCCTCAGAGCTTTCTTACAGAGAAAGATTAATATCTCACAAAACAACGTAGCACTAAGCCAGGTAAACCCCTTCTACACTGCCATTCAAAGTCCAGATTATCTGTTTTGATAATATGGCCGTGCAGACTCATATATACTGAGAGAGATCATCCGGAGTTTTGGAGTTTGGTGCCATCTATGTGCGGAGGACACCAAAATCTACTACTCCTTTCCATCTAAAGCCAAGGAAGCTGTGCTGATGCTAAACCAGTGTGTGTCATCAGTAATGGACTGGATGAGGACAAACAAATAGAAACTTAGTCCAGACAAGACAGGGGTACTCTTGATCAGATGGAAGGCAGATCTGGGAATAGGGATCCAGCCTGTGCTGGATGGGGTCACACACCTCCCCCCTTTTTTTTGTGTCAGGAGTGACTTGAGAAACTGCAAGTCGCTTCTGGTGTGAGAGAATTGGCTGTCTGCAAGTATGTTGCCCAGGGGACATCCAGATGTCTTGATGTTTTACCATCCTTGTGGGAGGCTTCTCTTATGTCCCCACATGGGAGCTGGAGCTGACAAAGGGAGCTCATCTGCACTTTTCTCAGATTCGAACCACTAACCTGTCGGTCCTCAGATCTGCTGGCACAAGGGTTTAACCCATCACACCTTGGGGGCTCCCCCTGAAGACACAGGTCTGCAGTTTGGAGGTGATCTTGGACTCGGCGCTGGACCTGGAGGCCTGGGTGTTGGTGGTGGTCAGGAGGGCCTTTGCACAATTAAAACTTGTGCGCTAAGTGTGCCTGTTCCTCGACAAGCCAAATCTGGCCATGGTGGTCCATGCTTTAGTTACATCCTGTTTGGATTATTTCACGTGCTCTACGTGGGGCTGCTTCTGAAGAGTGCTTGAAAACTTCAGCTGGTCCAAAGAGTTGCAGCCAGGTTGCTCACTGGGACTGGCTACAGGGAGTGGACAACCTCCCTCTTGCAGCAGCTCCACTGGCTGCCAGTCTGTTTCTGAGCACAATTCATAGAGTTGGTTATGACCTTTAAAGCCCTAGACATTTTAGGTTCAGGTTATTTGGATAACTGTATCTCCTTGTATGAACCTGTTTGGGCACTGAGATCTTCAGAAGAGGCCCTTCTCTTGGTCCCAAGCTGGGTTGGTGGGAAAGAGAGAGCGGGCCTTCCTTCCTGCTCGGTGGCTGCCCCTCAACTCTGGAACTCCCTTCTTCCCAGGGAAGCCAGTATGGTCCCCTCCCTGATGTCCTTCTGGAAGCAGGCTAGAACCTTTTTATTGAGGGCCTTTCCACACAGCCATATAACCTACAATATCAAGGCAGATAATCCACAATATTGGCTTTGAACTGGGTTATCTGAGTCCACACTGCCATATAATCCTATTCAATGAGGATTTTATACAGCTGTGTGGATGAGGCCTCAGATCGGCTCTCAGCCATCCTGAGTCCCCCTTCGGGGGTAGAGAAAGACAGGATGGAAATGCAGGAAATAATAAATAAAATAAACAAAGAAGATGGCTTTTAAGATCAATTCAGGGGTGGTGTGGTTTTTTAAAAATGTTTTTATGGATTTAATCTGAATTATTAATACTAATAATGTTTAATACTGTTTTAATATTTGTATATTTTAAACTGTAATGCTTTTAATGGTAGCCGCTTAGAGTCTCCTCATGGAACGAAAAAGTGGGGTGCAAATAAACATAAATAATAATATAATCCAGTTCAAAGCAGACACTGGATTTTCTGTTTTGATAATCTGGATTACATGGCCATGTAGAAGGGGCCAAAGCTGATAGTCAGCATGACCCCAGTTCACAATAGAATAGTGTAATAGGTGGCGCACTGGGTTAAAGCGCTGAGCTGCTAAACTTGTTGACCGAGAGGTTGCAGGTTTGAATCTGGGGAGCGGGGTGAGCTTCCACTTTCAGCCCCAGCTTCTACCAACCTAGCAGTTTGAAAACATGCAAATGTGAGTAGATCAATAGGTACCACTCCAGTGGGAAGGTAACAACACTCCATGTACTCATGCCGACCACATGACCTTGGAGCTGTCTAAGGACAACGCCAGCTCTTTGGCTTGGAAATGGAGATGAGCACCACCAACCTCCAGAGTCTGACACGACCGGACTTAATGTCAGGGGAAAACCTTTACCCTTTGCCTAATAGTTTTGTTTTTTTTTAGCAAAAGAATATGTATGTATTTTAATAGCTTATTAAGCACATTACTATTTATAACATGAAATGTTGTCAACATACATTATACATTCATCTACCAAATCACTAGCATTTATCTATTCCCATGTTTTAAATGTCCATTTTAAACTGGGTCGATCCCTTCTAGGAAGCCAAATAAAACTCCTAAATGCATTTAAATACAGGGCTTGAAAAATAAACAAGACTGAAAAAGAATTTTTGTGGGGAAAACATTAATGAATGGTCTGATAATCCACATCTGATTTGAACTGGGTTATCTGCAGCCCCTTCCACACAACTGAATAAAATCCCACGTATTTTGCTTTGAACTGGAATATATGGCAGTGTGGACTGTAGAGAACCCAGTTCAGAGCAGATATTGTGGGATTTTCTGCCTTGATATTCTGTGTGGGAGGGCGCATAGTCTACTGCCATCAGGGCCGTAGCCAGAAAAAAATTTCGGGGAGGGTTGACAATTTCAGGAGGTTTTTTGGGGGGGGTTGAAAATTTCGGGGAGGGTTGAAAATTTGGGGGGGGGTGTTGAAACCTGCCTCCTAGCTCACGCTGAAGCAAAGAGCACAGCAGGGGGCAGAGTAACCTTCAATAGCCTGCAGCTCCACCCCTGTCAACCACCTCCACCAAGTCTGGCCTCCTTAATGAGAGCATTCAACACACACACACCCAACTTGGTTGCTTCACTACATCGACTATCGCAGAAAGTAATGACAGTGTGGTTGAAAATTTCGGGGGGGGGGGTTGAAAATTTCGGGGGGGGGGTTGAAACCTGCCTCCTAGCTCACACTGAAGCAAAGAGCACAGCAGGGGGCAGAGCAGCCTTCAATAGCCTGCAGCTCCGCCCCTGTCAACCACCTCCACCAAGTCTGGCCTCCTTAATGAGAGCATTCAACACACACACAACTTGGTTGCTTCACTACATCGGCTATTGCTGCAAGTAATGACAGTGTGAATAAATTGTCAATATTTGCTTGAGATAGTGCTGCTTGCAGTTCTGGAGGGACTCTTAATTTTTTGCATCTCATAGACTTAGCATGAGGATTTGGTTAACCAGTTAAAATTCATGAGTAAACCAGGTTTTGAAAAAAATCTGAAACATTTCGGGGGGGGGGGGGTTGAACCCCTAATCCCCCCCCCTCGCTACAGACCTGACTGCCATATAAACAATTCCAAAGCAAATAATGTGGATTGTGTATGGCAATGTAGAAGGGGCCTCAATCTACCTCCCCCCCCCCCCCGAATATAACGCAAACTTTTTTCCCCGGAAGCCTCATTCGAGTGAAAGAAGTTTGATGGGAGAGCAAGGGCGCGCGCATTGGCCGCCGGCCTGCAGGGGGCGCTGTGGCGCGAGGGATGCGGCGGCGGCGCTCTTGCGAGCCGCTCTAATTGGGTGCCCGAGGCTGCAGCGGGGAGTTCTTGGTTGCCTGGAAACCGGCTGTAAACAAGCGCCTGGAAGCGAGGGCGGCTTTGGGGCCCAGGCCGCATCGGGCGAGTTGCAAGACCAGCGGCCTCTGCGTCGTTGCCGTAGTCCCCAGGCCCTGACGAGGGGGACGCCAATAGCGTAGGCTACGCAGAGGCCCTCCGGAGAGGGCTGAAGGTGAGCTGCCCCAAAAGGGGGGTGTGTGTGGGCAAAGTGCCCCAAAGTGGTATATGTCCTTAACGCAGGCATGGGTGAACTTGGGCCCATGCCTGCTGTATATGCAAAGCATCCAGTCGTAGAGAAGAATCAAGACATTACAAGAGAAACTTTTTTAGTCAGTTTTCCAACTCCTTCCATAAAATCGGAATTTAAAATGGTGGTTGTTAGAGTAGTCCAGCATTTCTGTGTTCAAATAATAATATTTGAGAACACAGAAGTGCTGGACCACTCTCACAACCACCATGTCAGACTACACAGAGAAGCCCTTGAAATCCACAAGCATGTGGACAATTTCAACAGAAAGGAGGAAACCATGAAAATGCACAAAATCTGGCTACCAGTATTTAAAAACTCTAAAATTACAACAGCAAAACAACAAACAGGAAACAATCTGGGACACCTAATCACCTCTCAACAAAAGATTGCCCCAGGCACGGCCAGCCATCAAATGCTAATCAAGGTGGTCAATTGAAACATCCACACCTAGCTCCAGCAGACAAGAGTCCTTTGTCCCACCCTGGTCATTCCACAGATATATAAACCCTCTTTCCTAGTTCCAACAGACCTCACAACCTCTGAGGATGCTTGCCATAGATGCAGGCGAAACGTCAGGAGAAAATGCCTCTAGAACAGGGGTCCTCAAACTTTTTAAACAGAGGGCCAGGTCACAGTCCCTCAAAATGTTGGAGGGCCAGATTATAATTTGAAAAAAAACACCATGAATGAATTCCTATGCACACTGCACATATCTTATTGGTAGTGCAAAAACACTTTAAAACACTACAATAATTAAAATTAAGAACAATTTTAAAAATATAAAACGTCTAGAACATGGCCACATAGCCCGAAAAAACCTACAACAACCCAGTGATTCCGGCCATGAAAGTCTTTGTCTGTTTAAAGCAAATTTGATTAGTATTGAGTAGCATTGCAGCTGGAAAGTCAATCACTGAGGGTATTTGCATAGACGTAGCCTGGCTGTTGTTGCTCAGGGGCATCCTTTGTTTGGGACGTGTTAAGTGGCACTTGATTGTTTATTGTCTGGAATTCCCCTGTTTCTGAGTGGTGTTCTTTATTTACTGTCTTGATTCTGGTGTTTGTAATATTGGTAACCAGATTTCTTTTTCATTTTCTTGGTTTCATGCTTTCTGTTGAAATTGTCCACATGCTTGTGGATGTCAATGGCTTCTCTGTGTAGTCTGACATGATGGTTGTCAGAGTGGTCCAACATTTCGATGTTCTCAGATAATATTCTGTGTCCAGGTTGGTTCATCAAGTGCTCTGCTATAGCTGACTTCTCTGGTTGAATTAGTCTGCAGTGCCTTTCATGTTCTTTAATTCGTGTCTGGGCACTGTGTTTGTTGGTCCCTATGTAGACTTGTCCACAGATGAATGGTATACGGTAGACTCCTGCAGAGGTTAGAGCAGTGGTTCCCAACCTTTGGGCCTCCAAGTGTTTTTGACTTCAGCTCCCAGAAATCCCAGCCAGCTTACTAGCTGTTAGTAACTGTGGGAGCTGAAGTCCAAAACACCTGGAGGCCCAAAAGTTGGGAACCACTGGGTTAGAGGATCCCTCCTATCCTTTGGTGAATGTAACATCTGCTAAGTTTTCGTGGTGGGTCTGTAGATTGTTTGTAGGTTGTGTTTCTTCATCAGTTTCCCTTTGTGGTCAGTGGTTCCCTTGATGTATGGTAAGAACACTTTTCCTCTAAGTGGATCTTTGTCTTTACTCTTGTGGCTTGTTCTTGGTCTTGCAGCTCTTCTGATGTCTATTGTTGAATACTCATTGGCCTGTAGAACACAGTTTATATGGTTCAGTTGACCTTGGAGGAGTGGGGTTCGCAGATCTTGTTTGCATGGTCTACCAGGGCTTTCATTGTGCTTCTTTTTTGACCTTAATGATGGTTGGAGTTTTTATGTGGGTATCTATCAGTGTGCGTAGGTCAGTGGCTCCCAACCTTTTTTTGACCAGGGACCACTCCCCAACACTAGTACCAAAAGGGTGGTTGTTGTTTATTCATTCAGCCCACACCAGAGCTCCCTGTCAGCCGTCACCACCCCCAGCTCCTTCAGAGCCAAGTCAGTCACTTCAAGGATACCATCCATCCATCTTGCCCCTGGTCAGCCCCTCTTTTTCCTACTATTTTCCCCAGCATCATTGGTCAACTTTAGATTCAGTTTGGGGCGCTGATTTAGACAATTGCATTGGATAGACCACATCAGCTCTAGTTTCTGATATACGGCATATGCCGTGGTCAGCTACAGGTAAGGAGTGGCAGACAGCGCAAAAGAAGTGGAAATAAAATAAAATAAATAAAGAGGAAGGAGGCTCGGAGACCAGATTTTCGTCCTCGTGGCCCACTGGTGGTCCACGGCCCACAGGTTGAGAACCACTGGCGTAGGTGTTCTGTAAACTGTGTGGCCCAATTGTTGATTTTGTTTGCGGATGAGTAGGACTAGAAATTGTAGTTTTCTTTCATTTTCTTTTTCTGTGGTAAATTGGATGTTTGGGTAGATGTTGTTTATGTGGTCCAGGAACACATTTAGTTCTTCACGTGGCTCCAAATTGGGAAGGTGACATCCACATATCTGAACCACATTGTGGGCTTTTTGTTGCTGTTTCCAGGGCTTGTTTCTTATAGTGTTCCGTGTAGAAATTTGCTATGATCAGTCTAAGAGCTACTCCATATTGAATTGGTTGAAACAGATATTCATAGCAAAACTGTAGCAAAATGTACTGCAGGATGTCTTGCCAAAACAAGGTTTTTGCAGTTTAATAATATTTTTCCATTTTTTATGATAGACCTAATTGGGAAATGACATCTATAACCCAGGAACAAAAAATGTATTGCATAGTGTTATATTAAAGCAAACCTTGATTTTGCCATTTTATATAAAGGATACCATTTTACTATGGCAATATATATTAACAGGATGTGTATATCTGGATTTTGGGGTTCTGGAGCCCAACCCAAGGAGATACCAAGAGTCCATGGTACTGTCTGCCTCACTGAATCCATCTGCACCGAAATGTAGTCCTTGCTCAGAACAAGATGCATCAATTAACTGTTGTATCAACAGCCAGAGTGGTCCCCTTTTCAAAGCATCCCTGCCTGGAGGCAAAGTAGGAGTCCTAATTGATGATTGCAGGGCCAGGTGTGCTGTATTGCCATTAATTAGCACAGCCAGCTGCAAGTGCTGTGGGGTTTCTCTTCTTCTGTCTGACTGAAAGCAGTAGGATTTGTTTTTATACAGGCTTAGATTATAAACTGATGTCTGGATATGCAGCTCTGCGTTTAGACAATTAGTACTATAACTGATGATTTTCATTAGTCCATTTGACTGCTCCAACCAACTGTTATTTTATTAATATCCGATCCTTTTCCACTAAGATGTTCAAGATGATACTCATGGTTTTCCCATCTTCCAGTTTATTACTACAACAATCAATCCTATGTAGTTTAGATGGTACCGAGCCGATATGACTGAATAATCCCAGTAATAATTTCAGATTGGGTCTCCTGTGTCATGTTAGTGCACTATAAAATATAGCATTATTGTCCTGTCATCCCCTGCCGATTGAAGGCAAATGACAGGTAGGGACTCAAGAAATGTGGTTTGTATCAGAACTGAACAGTGAAAAATGTGAAGCTAATCCTATTCCCATGTGATGGATTTAGAAGAATAGAATTATCTTAATATGAGAGGTGGGTGTATTGTCGTCATCCCCCCCCCTCCCCACATTGATATGTGTTTAGCCTTATGAGGGTGTGGGGCATACAACTTCCAAATGATTTTTTTAATTAGAAGTTCATTAAAATGGATTAGTTAATACAAAAGAAGAAGGAACAACAGTAACTGAATGAGTTTTTCAGGATTGTTCTTTGCAGCAGTCAGGCATATTGCACTTACAGGTAATTAAATATCCAGTAAGTTTACAAAAAGGCACTGGGACAAAATTACATCATCTGATACTAGTGACGTTGCAACGCTTAGCAGATGTCCCTGGCTCCTGTACAACCCCTGCCACACAATACAGTACTGCTATTGTGACTACTTTCTATAGCATCTATACTGCACATAATTACTTGATGAAAACAACATGCCTTGGGAGTGCTTTCAGGAATGAAACAATGTTTTGAGATTTGCCCCTTCATTTATTGTTGCAGTGTGTGTGTGGCAAAAAGTAGTGTAAGATGAAAAGGGAGTTGAATCCCTTTTTAGTTGGAGAAAAATACTCTCCTGAATAGAAATTCTCAAATCACTTGAAATACAAAAAATACAAAAATACAAAAAGTATTGCATGTAGACTTGGATTGGAATTAAGGCTGAGAAATTCTTCAAAATAAAATGAGAGAATATGTCAAACCAACATATTGTAATTTTAAAAAGTAACCTTCTGTAGTTAAATGAAAAATTATTTCTGAAATAATTTTGCTTACTATAGATCAGTCCTGAAGACAGAGAATATTATCAAGAAAGAAATGCAAGGACATCTCTCTATGGGAAGTGGAACACATTAAACAACAAATCACACACAAACTGTCATGGAAGAAGTTCCGGTTAAAGTAGCAGTGAGAATAAGACCGTTGCTTTCTAAAGAAGCACTTCACAACCATCAAGTGTGTGTGAGATTAATCCCAAACACTCAGCAAATAGTCATTGGAAAGGACCGTGTTTTCACTTTTGATTTTGTTTTTGACAAACATTCCACCCAAGATGAAGTTTATACAACGTGTATCAAACCATTAGTGGCATCTCTGATAGAAGGATACAATGCCACTGTTTTTGCCTATGGACAGACAGGCTCTGGGAAGACTTACACCATTGGAGGAGGTCATGTTGGTATGTTCTAAAATGCTTATTATGCATTATTGTTATACTAGTTTATTTAAAAAAAATAAAATCAGTATCGTATCTTATAAGCAATGCATTACAATCAGGATCATGTTACTTGATAAAAACACGAGAAATATAATCTTTTCATAAGCTTTATTAATGTAACTGTGGTTCCAGACTTCTATTCCCCTTAAAATAGAATAGGACAAAAGTTTTCCAACCAAAAGTTGTATTGTTTCCATCTTTTAAAAATGTCAGGTTTATGCAGTGCAAAGATTGCAGTCTGGCCAACAACATTTCTATATTAATTTTTATCACACTGAAACATTATTTATGTAATTTTTTTTCAAGTAATAAAATAAAAAAAGTTTTAAATGTTAAGTTTGACTGACAGTAGGACTGGGTAGCATTATACATTGTTAGAATGTAGTTCCTGTCAGTCTTAGCACCTGATGAAATGCGATAGGAGTTATAGGTGAATAATTTTGGAGGCTATCCATTCCGTCAATGCATAACCTCAAATGTTAATGTAATCATTGTTTTCTCCTAAATTATGGGTTAGGAAAGTTATCCAGAGCAAAAAGCTATGGTTATTCACAAAATAGCAAGAGGGAAAAACATTTAAGATGTGTTACTTTCTTAATGAGGTATTCATTTTGGTACAATGCAAGAGACTGAAATAAAACTGTTTTCTTAATTCTCTGAATTAAATTTGGGTTCACAAGAATATCAATTCCTCTATTGATGGCCATGTCCACTGGTGGACATCATAATACTTCTGGTGAATCTGTGATAGACATGCTGTCTTCTCGCTTTTTATATTAGGGCTTTTATGCCAACATTTACACATCACAAACTGCTGTGGTAGCTGTATCAGCATCTGCAAAGTGTCAAAATTGAAAGCTACTGTTTGGTCAACCTGGAGCATGGTATTATCACCAACATACGAACTAGGTTATAAAATGCCATAATCTATTTGCTAAAGAGACAAAGAAACAAAAAGAAATACTCATTCTTGTCAGATTAAATACTACCATATAAAGCCATGAATTTACCTTGGTTTCCTACTCTTTAATGCAGACAACATGTTTAGTCCCTACATGAATTATTCTTCATCTTTTTTGCTTCTTCTCGGTCTTAGCCTTCCTAATGGAGTCCATATCATCGCCCTATTGCATTGCTTTAACAGGAGACTATATTAGTTTGAGTGTATTTGTGTCATTATTCTAAAATTGTAATCCTGCTGTTTAGATATTAATGATGTGTTTTGGTTGTTTTGGTAGATAGTAAATGGGATTCCTTCATGTGTCCAGTGACCTGGGTATTAAAATTAATTATGTTATCTCTTTCACTAATGAAGTCACCGAGTACTGAATTTATTCTCTTAAATTGTGTTCCCAGCCATTCTAACAAAGAAGTGTGCTTTTAATGTTGAGTCTTGTGGTCAGGAAATAAATTATTTATTTTAAAATGCACTACATTTACAAGAGAATTGGGCTTTGGGCTTTTTAAATATACTTAAAATTATTAAATGATTTTGTTTAGACTAAAAACTGTATGCAAGATTTAAGGTTAGAAGGTGCTTCAAAAATTATAAATTCTGGAGCTGTCCAGAATTTATTCGATCTCAACTCCCAGTATTTCTCATAATGGGTTATACTGGCTAAAACTGCTAGGAGTTGCAGTTCAGCATTTGGAGGGCAACCCTAGTCCTGCACCAAAGCAACATTTTTTCTTTTGTTCTAAATATTGTTTTCTCTGTCCAGAAGTTATAGGCTGCCAATCTGAAACTACTTAATTTGATGTAGTAACTGGGTAATAATAATAGTAATGCTGTAATACTAATCCGCTGGAGGACTTCTTTGGACTTCTTTGGACTATTTAGTTTTAGGAGTGCGAATTGGTGATTTGATTGATTAATTTGGCATTTTGCAAAAATAAACTATTTACTCCCATTGAGTAGCAATGATACTGATACTAATATCTATCTTCTGTCAAAGGAGGAGTTTGAAGATGTTCTCTTGTATATCTATTTCACACTTGTTGCATATAGTGCATGCATGAAATCAGATGAAGAATTAGCTAGAAAATGGTACTCAAAGGCACCTGCGTAATACAATATATGTCTTGTTATGTCACTTACTCATTGTCTGTAACATCCACTGGCACAATGTTAGAACTAAGTTTGCAGAAAGAAAACACAAGAATATATATTATTAAAACTTAAACGAAACTCAAAGGAACTATCACTGCGAATCCGACCAAAAAAATGACACAAATGAGCATAACAACAGGATTCCACAACCTGGGGAGTCCTGGGAGTTCTTTTCTACCTCCCTATCCCCCCCCCCCCCGCTTTTCCTATTTTTCTTTCTTTTCTTTTTTTTCTTTCTTTTCTTAGTCGACCTTCTCATGTTTGCCAGGTTATTTGTTCAAATATCCTAATTTACTAAAACACATTGTTCCCACTCTTTTTAAGTAACAATACAAAATACATACGATTATTCTAAGTCTACAGGAGGCTCCTTTCTTTAGGGAGCAATCTTTTACTTGCAATAAAAAAAAAATTTAAAAAAAGAAATAAGTTTGTAGAAACAATCCCAGTAACTTCCTAAAAACTTGACTTGAGGATTTATGGATCCTTTGGAACAGGAGCTTAAGAAAAATCAAAGGATAAAATTAAAACAGGCACGGGCAATTTCTGCCCTTTTTTGCAGAATGTGTGATCTCCATATTGCTACTTGCCCCCATGTAGTTGTCCTCCGACCTTTATGAAAGGCCTTTGGAGAAGCTCTTAGCATTGTTAGTGAAAGAAAGGGGAAGTACAGTAATCAGTTTCTGGAGAATTCTTCTGCCTGCATGAAGTTGGAAACTCCCTGTGTCATGTTTAATTGTTCAGTATCAAGTGTTATTCCCAGATGTAAACAAACTCTTTGTTTTTCTGGTAATGTATTTGACTTCTGTAACCTTCTTAACCCACAATTTCATTCCCCTAATCTCTTATACTAAGGGCCATCATACTCCTTTGTAACATTTTGGTATCTCCAAGTGCATTTGAATCTGCAGATTTGACCTGTGTGCTTGGTTCATATTCTTGCTTATGTTTTAGTTTCCATTGCAGAGGAAGAAAGAGGTATCATTCCACGTGCAATCCAGGAAATATTTCAACTTATTTCTGAAAACCATAATGTTGACTTCACTGTGAAAGTTTCTTACATAGAGGTCTACAAAGAAGAAGTCAGAGATCTGCTGGAACTAGAGACCTCTATGAAAGATCTACACATAAGAGAAGATGAGAAAGGCAATACAGGTACAGATAGGAATTTGAACACAAAATAGGGGTTTATTACTTGCCAATAAGCAATTTTAAAAATTCGTATTGAAAATGTTTTTTATTTTTTAAAAACCCAATGCATATTCTTTATTCTCTTAGTGATTTACTGTCATATAATTATGCGTTAATGTTACATTATTGCTTAGGAAATATTACACAAGAAATTGTTAATTTAATTTCTAGTCTAGCTCAGAAAAAAAAATACCATATGTGTAATCATTGAGCGTGTTGTGTATCATTGTCCTAACTGTTTGGCAGTTAGTAATTTTACCTTGTTCTGATTTAAACAAATGTTTAAATTGGGAAACTCTTTAAAATGAATGTTTCTTTTAAAATCAGTATTTTTTTCATAATTTGCATATTAGCTTTAAAGTACCTATAATCCTGTATTTGCAGTTGTAGTAATATTTTTCAACCTAGATACTTTTTCAACCCGTTATAGTATTTCATAGAGACATAGTGGATTATTTTAAGATCCTTGAAACTGCTGGGCTAAATGTAATAAATTCAGAATTGTCATCTTCTCATTGTGTTAATTTTAGCACAGATGTTTATCCCTAAAAAGAATAACAACATTCAAAATAGGATGCCATCTTTTCCTAACTCATACCACTGGTCTATCCAGCTCAGCATTATTATTTATACTGGTTGGCAGCCGAGGTACTTGAGTTTCAGACCAAACCTCCCTCAAGATGCCAGAGATTGAACTTGGAACCTCTCAATTCAAACCATATTATTATTCATTGACCTACTTTATGTATGTACATGTATTACCTTGCTAATATAATCTCCAAAAACATTTGGAGTAGTATAGTTTTTAATTAAATAACTGTATACTTTGTAATGTACTATTTCATTTTCTGAATTTGGTCATGCTTGAGTAATAACAGTATTTTAAAATAGTCAACTGCATTTCGCTGACAACTTTATGTTTGCCATTTTCTTCTGGCTTGGTTTTTGCCCCTTAAGTAATTGTCGGTACCAAGGATTGCCAGGTTGAAAGTATGGATGAAGTGATGAGCCTGTTGGAAACTGGGAATGCTGCTCGACATACAGGCACAACACAAATGAATGAGCACTCCAGCCGATCTCATGCTGTTTTTACTATCAGCATTTGTCAACAACGGCAATCAGCTCAGAAAAACACAAACTCTGGACAGGATTCATCTCAAAGTTCAGGCCAGCTGATTGTGTCCAAGTTCCACTTTGTGGACCTTGCTGGATCAGAAAGAGTAACAAAAACTGGGAACACTGGTGAAAGATTCAAGGAATCAATTCAGATAAACAGTGGCTTATTGGCTCTGGGAAATGTGATAAGTGCTCTTGGAGATCCTAGGAGAAAAAGTATACATATTCCATACAGGGATGCTAAAATTACACGCATTCTGAAGGACTCCTTAGGAGGCAATGCCAAGACAGTCATGATAACTTGCATTAGTCCATCATCTTCTGAATTTGATGAGTCACTCAATTCCATAAAATATGCCAACAGAGCCAAAAATATTAGAAACAAACCTATTGTCAACTACAACCCAGATCGGGACCGCATCGATGAAATGGAGTTTACAATCAAATTGCTTCGAGAAGCTTTGCAAAATCAGCAGGTTAGTGAACAAAACTCTGGCAGCCGAGTGTCACAAGACTTGTCTCAGGAGAGAAGCAAAATCCATTCTCTTGAGGAGCAGCTTGCCCGGCTTCAGGTAGAAAGTTTCAGCTACAGAAATTGCATAGAAGAAGCCTATACATTCCTTGCCGACCTAAAAAATATTGCCAGTCTGTCAAAAAGTCAACATGACAAACTGCAAGATTGGCTCTCTGTGGCTCAGGAACTCAGGAAGGAGACCCCAGCTATTCCTCAAATAAATGGTGGAAGTGGAGGTAACCAAGAAGAACCATACCATATCACAATTCTTCAATTGAAGAGAGAGCTGAAAAAGTATCAGGTATTTATACTAAATGAAATAAAAGTGATGAGAGTACAAAAAGTATCAAAAAGATAATGAGAGATTTTATTAATCCTTAATCCTATCATGAATCCGCCATAGGTTACATGTCTACGCTGCTTGTTTCATCAGAATAACAAATGAAATATACTGATGACAAAAGCAAGCTACTAAATTGTGCTGTAGGTTAGTGAAAGCTGAGTTGTAGAAGTGCATTAATAGTTTCTTTTGATCTATACCTGGCTGATTGGTGCTTATATTAAGCAGATTTAAACATTGCTGAAGATGCAGTGGAGAAATATTTTGGAATTGTGCAAAGTTTATGATTTTTTTCACACACACATATGTCGCTGTATAGCTTTATGAGACATTCCAAATGGTTGGTAAACCTTCCCTTGATCTTTTGGAGAGGAAGCAAGAGGGAAAATCCATTGTGCAGGTATCCACTTTGCCCTCACATAATTGGATTTCTACTTCTCTTGTACAAACTTCTGCTTGTGGGCCAATGTAGTATTTATTTTTATAAAATAAAAAATACTTTTTTGTACCATCCAATAGCATCTGCTTCAAAATATTAAATCTTTTGCTGAAAACATGCCGCTGCTTTACTTAGCAATACCAGTTTAGTGCTTGCTTAATTGCACAAAATGTCAGATTAGCCAAAAGGACTGATATTTATTGATACGTAATCAAATTACAGTTTCTGATCTCTGTAGGATTTTTTTTAAGTTTCCTGTTTTGTTCGTTACTTCAAGGGAAGTTTACAATTCAGTGTTATATGTTGTAATGACTGAAGAGAGCAATTATCTTTTTCTATACTCCTTCTCAGGGTTCCCTGTTGGCGCAGCAGCTTAAGCTGCTGAACTTGCTGACTAAAAAATCAGTGGCTCACATTCAGGGAGCAGGGTGAGCTCCCTCTGTTAGGCCCAGCTTCTGCCAACCTAGCAGTCTGAAAACATTCAGTTGTGAGGTGCCCCTTCTGCAGGAAGGTAACGGCGCTCCATGCAGTCATGCTGGCCACCTGACCTTGGAGGTGTCTATGGATAACGCCGGCTCTTCGGCTTAGAAATGAAGATGGGCACATCCCCCAAAGTCAGACACAACTAGACTTAATGTGAGGGGAAGCCTTTACCTTTATAGTCCTTCTGCTGAGAAATAAAAAAAAGCACAAAGGAAAGTGACAAGGAATTCTCATATTTATAGGTTGCAATCAGCTGTTTCTGTTAAGTCACACATGTCAGTCTTCACTTCCTAATATCATTCGACACACATCCTATAAAGATAAAATCTTTTTTCCCATTCAAGCCTGGCTTTCTATTATCACTGCAGTTTTCCCATCCAAAATCACATGTGAAACTTATAGCCCTTTTTGAAGTAGTTTTGATTATTTTGCAGGATAGTTTTCTTTTACAAGAGCAACATTGATTGCACACTTCCCATATAATAATATTATAATAATAAACTTTATTATTTTCATCTCCCCATCATCTCCCCAATGGGGACTCGGAGCGGCTTACATGAGGCCAAGTCCAAACAACAAATTACAATAGAGTAAAACCAAAAACGCAAACCGAAAACGCAAACAATAAACAACAACATCATAATTACATAAAACATGTGAATACATAACAATATAAAATTACAATAAGCACAATCACAGTGACAATGGGCGGGTTACATGTAATGATTAAAAGAAAAGCTAATTATGATATATGATACAACCACAGTAATAACAAAAGCTTAGGAGTGTTCCTCTTTGAGCTAGCTGCCTTGTTCTTGATTTTAATGAACTAAAAAGTAGTTTATTTGTCTCTGTTGAAATCGTATAAGAGAATGCATGTAGTTACAGAGATATGTAATTCAAATACTGTCAAGTTCTAGTATGGAGAGATTTACCCTCTGCCCTACTTTATCCTCCCCCCCCCCCCCCCCCCCCCCCCCCCCCCCCCCCCCCCCCCCCCGGCCACCCCTGCTTTGACTCCCTACACTGCACTTTATTATCTAGCAGGCTCTTGCTGCAGATGAAGAAGTTTTTAGTGAGAAAGAACTTGAGATAAAAGTACTGCAAGATCAAATAGAGAAGTTGATAAAGGAGAATCAGGAATGCCTGCAGTCACTACAGGAGGCACAGGATACAAATAAGCTACAGGTAACCACTTTGCGCAGGTTACTTCATGAATCTATTTAAAATGACATTTAAGAAGTTGGTCTTATATTTTAAACATAGTATCCAATGTCTTATTCTTTGAAATGAAGTCCCATTGGCATTTACTCCCTTTGTAAATGCATGTAGAATTATAAATTAAGTTTTAATTAAGTTGTGCCAGATTTGTATTCTAGTGATCCATTTCATTTTTAGTGCTAAATTATTGTCACAGAAATCACTTATTATACAATATTAAAGACTACATGTTTATCACTCAATAAGAAGCATATGAACCTCCATAAATTTTTACTGTGGGATGATTGAAAAGGTTTACTAGAAGTTCTTACAGCAACTTTTTAAAACATTAACAAGGATACAGACCTATTTTTTCTTACAAGCAAAGCTTAACTAAAATTTGTAACATAGTTCTTTTCTCTTCCTATTCACTGTGGCTAAAGAGGCTTGTTAAATTGATTCCAGAGATTTCCATTGAATTGAAATGAGTACAAGGAAAAAAGTGCAGAGCTAATGAGGGCAGCTGCTATTCAGTGTGGTAATTTTCCAGCAGTTAATAACTACAGATTCTTTTCTTTCCTTTTTTTCAAGAATGAGAAAATGGTGGAACAACAGCTTATAATTGACCAGCTAAATGGCAGATTAGAGATCATGATAAAAATGTCTGCTTCCAGTGGTGCTTGTGGGGATGGACCAACTGCTATAGTATCTGCCAGGAGGCCTTTCAGTGTTCCTCTGACTAAACGTTTGGTGCAGTCCATTAATCCACCGGTGGAGCTGAATTCTCGAAAGGTAGATGTGAACATTAATTCTTTTTTCCTTATTTATGGTAAGTACTGTACAAAAACGATCCTCTTCTGCCATAGCAAAATAAGTCATTAATAATAATAATAATAATAATAATAATAATAATAATAATAATAATAATAATTTATTTCTAGACCGCCGTCTCTCCCCAGAGGGACTCAGGGTGGTTTACACGTAAAAAGGCAAACATTCAGTCCCTCAAAATAGGTGGAAACACATCAAATAATACAAAATAATGAAGAATAACAACATAAAATTTACAATAAGGAATTAAGCATTAAAATAAAATAAAAACTAAAACAATCCATTAAGACATAAAAACTAAAACAAACATTACAACATACATCCCAAAAACAAATTATGAGACATTACATTAAAAATGGCTGACAACGGTGTTACATTTAAAACGTATCACAACAGTCATCTAATACACGTAGATTAGCCAGGGGGTGGGGCTGAGAGGGGGTGGGATTGAGAGTAGGGAGTTGAGAGTAGACCACAGTGCATGTGATGGTCTAGACAGGGAGATGGGATTAGACAAATAGTCATCTCACTTATTGAATGTGACTGCACCTGGTTTGTAGTAGGATGGAAATTTGCACCTTCATCTTCAGTTTAGAAAAGCTTCCTAGGATAGATGACTTTGCATTGCATTCAGGAGGCAGAGGAAGGATATCCTATTTTCTGTCTTATCTGGTAACTAAGTGGGTTGATCCTTCTCTAGTTCTAGTCTCATCATTTCCATTTGTGTTGAGTTCTTTGGATTCTGGTACTAAAGATTAGCCTTCTTTGTTTCCCCTTTCTCCTCAAAGGAACTAATTGGGACAATGACACTTTGATATACTTGGAACATGACACAATGGTAGTCTAGTCAAGGATTAAGGAGCTGCAGTAAACAGTTTGCTCTGAACTCTAAAGGCTTTCCACAACTTATTGCATACAGGGAGACTCCATCTCTTGACAGATAGATTCCTGTCTCTATAGGAGAACCAGGAATCAGTTCAAGAACTCAGCTGCCTCCCAAGTCCATTGCAAGCACAAAAACTTTGTGGATGAATGATCTGGTGTCTGGCCTTCTGTGAGCATCTCACTGGGCATTTTGGAATGCTAATGGAATATGTAATATGTAGACCTCAAAACTGCAGCAGCCAGTTTGGTTGTAATCAAGATGGGGGCAAGCAGTGCTCCTTGATTTTCCTCTCACTGGATAATATTGAGGACCTACCCCTATGGTATATAGAGTATGCATGTGAATGAGATGTAGTAGTTAAAGAAACCAAGATTCATCTCGTGAAGGTTACTGGGTGGCTGAAGCAATCATACTCTTTTAATATTATTTTAGTATTATATGTACCTAACACTCAAGGTGATTGTAAAAGTAAAACACATAATCAAAGTGAATTCTATACCTGGGTCTGAACTCCTCTGAGATGGAATATAAAGGTAATAAAATGTAATAAAAATTGTGTATAAATGTAATGTACCTTCCAGATAATATTTCTTTTTAATTTCTTTAAAGGTACACACAAGTCCTCCGACATACTCCTTAAGCAGAGTCATGGCTGGATTTCATACCCGCAGCCAAATAATGTTAGATCACATAGAAGAACAGGATGAGGTTCTTCATTGCTGCTTCTCTGACCACAGCGATGAAGATGAAAAGCATGCGAAGAATAAAAAGAGACCCCAGTTTAGGTACATCTTTGGTCATATTTATGTCCTTAAAATATACTTGAAGTCTCAAAACCACAATGTATTTGTTGTGGTTAAAAACACCAGTGTATATTGTTGGATTTTTTCTAGACATTCTCTAAATCGTACATGGACACGAAAGCAGGCTCCTCAGTTTTCTGTGCTTGAACAAACAGAACTGCAACATGATTCCCATTTACAAAGCAGAAGTATCTCACAAATGGAATCTGCTCCTGGTAAGGAAAATCAATTCTTGCTACAATATAAAATATGTCTGCTTTGCAAGATCATCTGATTACAGAGCAGCTTTGATCTAAATAGTCCAGGACTTCTATTGTGGAATCTTGCACTGGAATCTAAAGAACTGTTGATTTGTTTATTTTGTGTATATCCCTCCTTTTATTCAACATGACCAAACTTGTTCAATTAGCCGTTTAATTAAATGCTAAATTACCCTAATTGATAAGTATGACATTTATAGTAGTACACAAACTTCTTTTAGTCCTCACAAAACACACACTTCACAATATTTTTGGTGTTACATTGCTATCCTGCTTTTTCTACTTCATAACAAATGAGCAAAATGATATTGAATATTATTACAATAAACTCATAAAAATCACGTACCACCATTGTACAAAGATTATTGATGTTGAATTGTCAGATGTCTTGCAATGTTTGAAACTGCAAAGGCATTTTGCCAATTTCTAGTGCAACAGAACTGCACATACATGCTGACCATGCTAATCTAAATTTATGTATATCTGCCTGTTCCATCCTGGTGCCTTGCCGATATCTTAGACTGCAGTTCCCCTAATGCCACAACCAGGTTCATGTTGAAATACAGGTAGATTGCACTTTGGACTTAGAAGAAGTGTCTTCTTCTACTCTTAGTCTTTAAAAAAAAGTAATAAGAATTCTGCTACTAGTTTTAATGGATAGAATGACACAATTTTTCTTCATATATGTAGAATTATTTGCAACTGATTTATTAATATTTAGTGTACCTTTAACAGAGCTTTAATCAAAACTGCATGACTAAATGCTCATGAAAACTGAAAGTCATACAATTTTACATGAATTCACAGATGATGTGACACATGGATAGTTTAAGCTGGGGATTGTATACGTGACCCAGCCAATAAGGAAAAATAACTGTCAATTCTAGACAATGTGAAATTGGGCATCTCCTTTCTGAGCCTGATATTTTTCATAGGCCTGTGCCAATTTTGCACCTTGCTTTGATAACACATATAGTCCTCAAGTTGAGCATATGAACATTCTTTGGACACTGACTGATCAATCTGATTGGTATTATCAACACTGTGAAATCTTGCTTGCTTACTATATTAATCGGGCTATATATGAACTTTTTGTATATATTGAATTTTTCAATGTTGTACCTTGTCTTTTTTAATTTAGGATGGTTCTGCATATTCTTAAAAATATTCCACTTTTCTTCAAGGTGCTGCTGATATCGAATGTATCAAGAAAAGTCAGATATTAAATATGCAGAAGTTAAAAAATACAGAGCTGAAACTTATTGCCGCTAAGCAAAAGATGAGTGAACTTACACTTAATATCAGAATGAAGGAAGAACTTATTAAAGAACTAGTGAAAACAGGTAACTAGATTTTGTGAATTCATGCTGTCTACAATTATATCATGGAACAGGATCCAAAACCAATTAAGTTACTTTTAGTTTGCTAAAAGTAATTTAATTTTATTTAATTAAATTACTTTTAGCAAATTCAATTTTTTATACTCCACAAGAAAATGGAGGTTGGGGAGCACCTTGCCTCCAGAATTATTACGAAGCCTGTCAATTGGCTAGGCTACTTGAATTAGATATCGGTGAGCCCAAAAGATGGGTTAGGTTAGAGAAATTAACAAACGGGTGGGAATATGGATCTTGCATTATGGGGAAAATTGGGGGGAAAGAACTAAAAAACATAAAAGGAGGCCCCTTGTTATTAACAATGACTTGTTGGGGAAAATGGCAAAATAAACTCCCAGTAAATAAAATAGACAAGCTCCCAATAGGTTCCTTAGACAACAGAAAACCCCAGCTATATCGCAACATGCTAAAGAAACTGGAACAAAACGGAATAACAAAGATTGAGGATTTACTAAAACCAGACGGGACTGTAATTCAATGGGAGGAAATAAAAGATAAATGCGGGCTTGGAAATTGGTTACAATGGGGAGGGCTGTCCAAAAAGCTAATAGAATTGAAGAATAAGGAAACCTCAGAAACAAATCTCGACAAAATAATAAAATGGAAAGTAGAGAGGGAGAAAGGAGTCATGGGATTTATATATAACACAATCACCGAAATACAATACAACACAAAATCTACCCTAATAGAAGTCTGGAAGGAGGAATTAAGCTGCAGTGAGAGAGAAATAGACAATTGGATTAATTCAATCAATAAAATAAAACACCTAAAGATTAAAGAAATGCAACGAAAAATATTGACAAAATGGTACAGAACTCCTGTGCAACTGGCGCATATCACAAAAACGTGCCCAAAATTATGTTGGCACAACTGTGGTAAAATAGGAACATATGCCCACATGTGGTGGGAATGTGAAAAAATCCAAAAGTTCCAAGAAATAATCAGGAAAGAAATGGAGGAGCTATTAGGGATCAAGATAGAATGGAATAAGGCCCAATTTTTCACTCAGAAATTCGAAAGTAAAGAGGAATATAAGGAAAGTGAGGAAATAATAAAACATATGATAGAGGGAATTAAAGCCTCAGTGGCCCTGGGCTGGAAAGACCACAAGAAATGGGATACAAAAACCTGGTACAAATATTTAGCAGATTACCTTCTTCAAGATTATATTAGCGAAAGGAAAAGTTACTATATGACGGGTCAAAGCAAAAAGACATGGAAAGCAAAATGGAAGGGTCTCATATATAGAATAAAGGGGAAAGATAAATATACGGTGTTGAACAAAACTATTCTCATGATTGAACAATTGTAATAAACACAGCTAAAGTATTTATTTGTTCCCGGGGGGGGGTGTGTGTGTGCTGGTGGCGGGATTGGGGAAAAAACTGGTATTTTGAATGTTACTTTCAAAGATGGTATGTGTCTATGTATTATACAATAATAATAATAAAAAATTAAAAAAAATAACACATCCAGGCATCCCCTGGGGACTGGAGGCGACTTGCGGTTTCTCGGGTCGCTTCTGACATGATTTTAAAAAACTGGATCATATGGCAGTGTAGACTGATATAATCCAGTTTTTTAGGGATCGTGTCGGATGCGACCTTAGATGCCGCAGGTCGCTTCTCGTGCCCAGAGGATGCCTGGATGTGTTATTATCCTGTGGGAGGCTTCTCTCATGTCCCCACATGGAAGCTGGAGCTGACAGGCGGGAACCCATCCCATCTCGCAGTTTAACCCATTGCTCCACCAAGGCTCCACTATATAATCCAGTTTAACAACAAAAAAAAGAAAAAAAAGTTACTTTTAGTCCACTTCTATACTACTCATGAAGACATTGGAGTGACAGCCTAAAGCCAAAGCTACTACAGCACATTCGCATCCAACCATGAAACTTTACTGGGTGAAGTGCTCTTTGTTATCTTTGTATCTGAATTACCGTATATACTTGAGAATAAGCCGAGTTTGTCAGCCCTTTTTTAGGCTGAAAAAGCCCCCTTTGGCTCATACTCGAGTCAAAGTTATTTATTATTTTACTGGGTTATGATTATTACTACTACATTTATTATTTTAGTCTCTTTATTATTATTGGAAGGATACATGAGCACATTTACATCAAAAAAGGATAGAAGAATGGTTTAATCAGTCTTATCTTAAATTACAATTTTATGTAAATATTCAAAAACATTTAACCTACTGATGCCTCAATCAATGTAACATTATTGGTATCTATTTTTATTTTGAAATGTACCAGTAGCTTCTCCATTTCCTACCCTCAGCTTATACTCAAGTTAATACAGTTTCCCAGTTTTTGTGGTAAAATTAGGTAACTCGGCTTATATTCAGGTTGGCTTATACTCGAATATATACAGTACTTCACAGGATGTGAGAATAAAATTGGGAATGAGGAGAACCATCTGGAGCATCTTAGAAAAAAGTATTTGTGCATGCTTTGAATACAAATCAAAACAATTAGTAGTGCATTGTCCTTAGTAATTATAGGTAGTTTTAAAAAGCTGGTACAGTGTCTAAAGGCACAAATAATAAGTCTCTTTTTAAAAATATTTTTTCCTCAAGGTAACGATGCTCAATCTGTAAGCAAGCAGTACTCTCTGAAAATAGCAGAACTGGAACATGAAGCAGACCAGGCCAAAACTGATTTAGCTGAAACGCAAAAGCAATTGCAAGAGCTAGAGAACAAAGAACTAAGAGACATTGCTGAAAATGCTAGGTTACAGAAAGAATTTAGGAAAAAGATGGATGCAGCAAAGATAAAAGTGCAGGTACTTGTATCTGGAAAAAATCTGTATTGTTGTAGGAAGCTAGATGAAAATAAGTGCATTTCACCTGTTGTGATGATGATAGTGTCCTCTTACAATGAAACATTGAGGCTTTTAAGAATAATATTTTTATTTACTTGTGTGTGTCTGATGGGGGGAGGAACAGTTTTGACAAACGGCTGGTGGTGGGATCTGAAAGATCCTTTAACTCAGCATGGGTGTCCTGTATTCTAATGGAATCTACACAGTAATATCTTTTTGTCAGAATACTTCTTTGGTTTTTTACATGTTGTCTGCGTGTTTATAGCAACTAGCAACATAAATAGGTGAAAAACTGTATGCACAATGTAGCGCACAAATGTAGTGTATCCATAAACAAAAACCACAATGAAACAAAAATATAATGGCAAGGTTATCCAATGCACACAATAAAATAATAGCACAACAAAATGGGCTAACGGTTTTGTTTAACTATATAGGCCTTACAGAAAAAACAGCAGGACACTAAGAAACTGGCTTCGTTGTCCACACAGAATGAAAGGCGTGTTTTTGAAGTAGAACAAAATGTCAGTCATATGAAAAATCAACAAGCCCAGATACAAAAAAGATTGCAAGAGGAGACTGAAAAAAAGAAAAGCTTGGAGGCAGAAATTCAGAAGGGACAACTACAGATCAAGGTAAGAGATTTCTTTTCTGCTTGTCTTGAGGATTGTAAGAGCACTTAATTATGTATCTATTACTGGCAGTATTGCATAGTCATGAGGGCTATCCTTCGTGCATATTATATCATATTGAAAACCTGGAATAGTGATGCTGTTCTACTGCCAAAGAACATCAGTGAAATCATAAGGTCCCTGCTTTACATTTCATTTCAGAGAATTGCCCGCCATGTTGCAGAGGTTCATTGAGGGATCCTGCCATCCAAACTTGCAACTATTTCATGACACCAACATTTAGTTTTCACTCTTAAAAAGTTAAATCTTAGAGCATATATGATCCTTCTAATAATGTATATCAAAATGTTTTTATACTTACAGGAGCTTCAACAAAAGACTGAAGAACAAGCAAAGATTTTAAAACTAAAAGATCAAGAAATTGCAGCAATTAAAAGGAAAAAGTCAGATGAAACCCCCCAGCAACTAGAGGTAGCTTATATTTTATAAGCCCAGTGACAGAACCTGGCTATACGGTTTGCTCAAGATTGGCATCTTTTTACATTGAAAACCTACAAATTCTAAAAATGTTTTATATAAGGGACATCATTTCATTTGCCATTGTATACAAAAGGACTTGTGCATCCATGAATTTTGGTATCCACGGGGCGTCCTGAAACCAATCCCCGGAGGACACCAAGGATCCACTGTAATTCATTTTGTCCTTGTGCATAAGGTGCTGGACTATTCCACTCAGTGTTCTGGCCCTGTTTCAGTCCTTTTTTGCTTTTGCTTCTCATGTGCCCTTAACTACTGTGTTAGTCATCTGTCAGTCACTGAGGCTTTTTGTTTGTTTGTTTGTTTTGTTTTTTGCATTATTTCCTGACAGTGTTCCTATCTTTATTTCAGAGTTCTTCTAGCTTACAGTCAATTAGTTTTAATAGTGCAAATCTATTTATTATGCAATTTTAAAATTCTATGGGGATATTCTTCTGGTTGTATTTTGGTGCAATGGCTAGTTTATTAATGTTCTGTAGCATTATTCTGATTTTTGATGTGGGCAGTTTATGGTCTGTGCCACAATCTACTCCAGCCCTTGTTGTTTTCACAGATAATTTAGCTCCTCCATTTTAGTTAAGTAGTCTATTAGATTTCTGTATTGAACATCAGCTGATAGCCATATATACAAGTGCCTCTTTGATTGCTTGAAGAATGTGTGATGAACAAACTGTTGGCCTCACATAATTCAGTCAGTTGCTCTCCTGCTTTATTTTTTCATCCTAGACCAAATTTCTCTACAATCTTTGAATCCTGTTTGTTTCCTACCTTTGTATTCTATTTACCTATGATCAATTTCCTCCTGGATTTCAGCATGGAATCATTCAGTTTCTCCTTCTAATTCTGTAGATGGAGCATACTGATGAGTTTCCTCCGAAGTCTTATTGATATTATCCCATCAGACTTTAGGATGCCTTTGCTACATATCTCCTTCCTATTAATGCCACTCCAAAACACACCGTAATTATCTGATTGAAAATGTCCCATTCCTCTCCACTTTAGTTCATTCATTCTAAATACTGCAATATTTTCACATTCCATTTCTTGGTTCACCACAAGTAACTTCCCCTGATTCATGCTTCTCACATTGAATGTTTGTATTATATTCATTGTGCAGCTTTGAACTTTCCTTTCACCTCTGAGCATATCAATAGCAGAACATCCTTTTGGTTTGAGTCCAGTTGCATCATTAGCCACAGGGCTACTTGTAATTGTCCTCCTCTCTTCCCCAGTACCTCGTTGAGTGCCCTCCGACCCAGAAGTCATTTTTGGCACTATCTCTGGTTTCATTTTTGATTGTCTCATCATAGAGTTCTCATGACATTAAAAAGGGGGTTTAACATGTTTTTTTCTGCTCCATACTAATAGGTATTAGTTATTATGTAACTTGTGTTATTTCTAAGAGATCCTCAATCAGGGTCTCCCTCTCCCACTATTGTTGCTGCCCAGTTGCTGTTTGGCTCATTTCGTCTGGATTCTCTGCAAAGACTTGTCTGACACAGGAGGTCCTACCAGCAATAGTGCTTCCACCTACATAGCCTTCACAGCCTCTTGCTTCAGAGAAGCACCCAATCCCACCACCATGAAAAAAAGGAAATGCACTGTGGAAGCTGTGGATGGAGTTGTGAAATTATCCTCATCATATATATCTTTTTGTTCTTGGCACAGAAATTAGAAGAGAAAAAGAAATGGCTAGATGAAGAGCTAGAGAAGGTTTTACATCAACGTCAGGAGTTAGCTCATCTGGAAGAAGATTTAAAAAGAAGAGAAGCTATCATTTCCAAAAAGGAAACTTTGATGCAAGAGAAGAGCCATTTAGAAATTAAAAAACTGAGATCCAGCCAGGTGCTTTTGTTATTCCTATATTCCAGGCTACCAGCTAACAGCTGATGTTAGCAGTTTAGAAAGTAATTGCCAATCTACTACTATGGCCAAGAGCTTGAGGCTCTGCCTGCTTGCCTTCTATAACATTTCGTTCATGGCTTTCAGTATTCAGTATTTGTAAAATGCTTATAGAGTGAACACAAAATTTGAAAAATGAGGTTTTCTGAAAATAATTAGATGCTTCTATAGTTGAATCCCCTGTATGAGTACTTTATATCTGATCTTATTCACAGCTATAAAACAGATAATGGATGTCCTACAATGTTTCTTGTATGTGGTTGGATGACATTAAGCTTAGTTGTCCTTAAGTCCCAACATTTGCTGAGGATTGGATTTATATATAACTGATCTTGGACTTATTTCAGTGGTACAATCGTATGACTAATTTTGTTCAGAACAATCCTTGGTGTATTTTAGTAATGTTTACAAATGTCTGTGTGTATGTTGAGATGCAAAGCAATAGCATTTTTCTGAAAGAGGTTGTTTTTTCACTTGTGGCTATGTAGGCTCTCAGTAAAGATATTTTGAAATTATCAAGTCGCTTGAACGTGCTGGATCAGGAATTATGTGACAAAAATATGCAGCTTCAGAGCAGCACCACTATGGAGCATGAGAAGATTTTTGAAGAAGTTCAGGCTCTGGAGAAGGAGCGAGATCAGCTCCTGAAAAGAAGGAGCAGTGTGGATGAGAAATTGCAGAATGGCAGAATATTGTCTCCAGAAGTAAGTAATTACACACTATATGCACAACTGGAATATTTGGTAACTGATATTGAGAGTTGTTAAAATAGAAATTAAAAAGCATGTTATTTTAGAGAGTATCAATTCATGCAAGTTGGATTAGAAATAATTTAAGTTACAGTTATAACTTGTTTAGGATCAGTTATCACTGTAACATGGGAAGCAGCTGGAAGTTGCTGTAGTGAAGTGGATCCTGTTTACTATGGGAAGTGAATAACATGCTTTATTGCCAGCTGAGAACACATGCTTTTCTTTCTTTATTTGGAGACAGTAGCATCTGCAGTCTTATTCAAGCCATCTCATTACAGCTATAAGGTTCTGATTGCAATTATTTGTTAGTAATTATCTGCTAGTAATTCGGTATTTCTTCTTTTTAAACTTTATATTATTATGCTCTGTAATCTTGTGGTACTTGCATCTGCTACCCCATAGTACAACTGAAGGGAAATCAGTAGGGTTCGGATCTGCATTCCCCTTTCTGTTTTTTGCACTGCCACAAAAAAAGATGCCCGACATCCAGACTGCCGTTCCAGTATGAGACAAAACATATACTAAGACACTGACAGTGAGCACTTACAGATTTTGACTGCCCCGACCCATTTCTTACAATTAGTGATACACGGGAAACATGAAAAAAGGATCCCAAAGAGACATCCCTGCATTCCTTGTAGCCTCTCAATCACATCCAGGTTAGAGAAGAATGAGGACACATCTAACTTTGTTGCATTTGATTCCATGTCTGACCAAAGTCTTTTTCTTTGAAGTATTTGGTCCTGATATTGGCAAACTGAGTGAGTTTTCTTGTTGTCTTCATATTGCTGTAAGATGGGAATCTCTGGAGTTCCATAAGGATTATGGATTAATGGTACCATGCACTTTATATATATATTTAATCTGTTATTATTCTATGTGTTTTATTTGCTTGACTGTTTTAATTGTTTTAATTGACAATATATGTTTTATGGTAATGTTTTAAATGGCATTGAATCTTGCTGGAATGGTAAGCTGTCTCGAGTTCCCCCATGAAGATGAGAAAGGTGGGGTATAAATGAAGCAAATAAATGAAATAAATAAATAAATAAATAAATAAGGAGATAATGTTACTAATTTTTATATTTAGAGTTCAGTTAGAACAGTGGCTTTAAAGCTTTTTTACTTATGGGTAAATCATTTCACCTTGACTATGTTTTCATATCACACAAGACAGTGTGCTAGACAAAGTGGCAATGTGATGTAGCGACTTAAGCACTGGATTACAACTCTAGATACCAAGGTTTGAACCCTTGCTTGCTGATGAGAACCTACTGGGTGGCTTTGAGTTTTCACATTTTCCTAACCTGAAAGGAAGGCAAAAGCAACCCCCCTCTGAACAGATCTTGCCCCCTCTTCCCCCAAAACCCCATGGTGGGTTCACTTTAGGGTCGGCAGAAGTCAGAAACATTGTGAAGGTACTCAACAACAGTGAAATGTTCCAGGCTACACAGTCAACCCAGGCAGTGTGTCAAGTGTTTGTATAATGACGTATTACAGAATATGCTCAGTATTTCCTTGCAAGATGATGGTAGTCAGGTTATCTTGCATGAAATCTAATGCACTTAGTCTGACCTTTTCAAAGGATGCTTGATTTTGAATGAATCCAGTTCCTTGAAACAGAATCTGAAAATTCCTGGGAGGTTATAGTAGCATTCTATTGCTGATATACTAGCTTCTGTTGACAGAATAAGGAGGAGGGCCACGACTTTGCAACTCCCATTATATACATTTGCTGTAGAAGGTTCTGTTGACCAGATTTAAGGAGATATGGCAGGCTGCAGAAGAAGGGAGGGAAGGAAAATGGCCTCTTGTGATAGTTGATGTTGTGTACTGCACTCAGTTAAACTGACTTCCATGGATACTTTCTTGATTGTATGGGTTTGTTCAGCTTAATAAGACTTCAAAGTAAACCTAATTTGCTTAATTAAAACTGTGCTTTTAGAATGCAATTGGTCACTGAATAGGGCCTTTAGAGCAGTGGTTCCCAACCTTTTTTGACCAGGGAGCACTTGACCAGGGACCACTCTAACATTAGTACCAAAAGGGCTACAAATCAGTTTTTGGTCAACTTTAGATTTGGTTTGGTTATTTGGGGTGTTAATTCAGAAAATTGCATTAGATAGACTACATCAACTCTAGTTTCTGATACAGAACATATACCATCCAGTAGTCACCATCTGCTCGCCCACAGAAAACCATATTTAACATTCTAGAGCTGATGTGGTAGTAGTAATCTTTAGTAAGTAGTCAGCCTCTCCCCTCCTGACATCCTTGTTGCCTTGGCACTATAAGAGGGTTTTGCAAGACCGGTTACTCTTGTTGCTGCGTGGTTTCTAGGCAATGGTGTAGTAATGGTGAGGCCATGGGCCATATTTTCATTCTTGCAGACCACTGGTGGTCCATGGACCACAGGCTGGGAACCACTGCTTTAGAGGGATGGTTGCCCGTACTGCCTATATTGCAGCCTAATTTAAACATTATTAATATGAGAACATCACACATTACACTGTTTATTATATTGTGGTATATATTGATATATTTTAATAATACAGTTATGTTGACACATTCTGAAAAAGCAGTGACAATTTGTGATGCATCATCTTTGGTAGCTTTCTTATGAACTATTGATTTCTTTATCATTTCTCTTTTCAGGAGGAACATTTTCTCTTCCAGCTTGAAGAAGGAATTGAAACTTTGGAAGCTGCCATTGCTTATAAGAATGAAAGTATCCAAAATCATCAAAATTCAGTCAGAGCTTCATCGCAAATCCTTTTGCACAGTGAGGCCAATGTGATGGAAAAGTTGGTTTCCTTGACTGCTAATGAACTGCGAGCAATTCTTATAAAGTATTTTAATAAGGTATGTTGCAGAGTCATGCTCAGCTGAGCAAAAACTACCAGTTCCTTTTTGTTGTTTTTGTCAGTAGCACAAAACAGCTGCCAAATGCGTTTTCTTATAGTAAGGATACCAGCATTGTTTTAATAATGCTTTTAGGAGTTTTAAATATACTATTTTAATGTATTTTTAAAATGTTGTAATCTTTTAAAGATGGTGTTTAAAATCTAGTCAGAGGGTGCTGTGGTTTTTGTCGTTGAATGTTTTCGATTGATTTTAACTGATTTTTTTTAGTGCTGTTTGTGTTTAATTCTGTTTTAACTTATGTATATTTGTATATTTTAAATTATATACTAATGCTTTTATGTCAAGCCGCTTTGATTCCCCTTTGGGGGAATAAAGTGGTATATTAATAAATATATCAATAATCGTAACAATTATTACTATATTTAAATTGTGAGGTTTTTGTTTTTTTATTGTTGAGTGCCCTAGGAGACCTTGTAGCCTGGGGAGATGATAAAAAATAAGATCAATAAAAATAAATTGCATAGAAATGTAGTTCTGAAAATGGAGTTTGTTTTTATAAAAGCACAAATAGAAATGTATTATCTTCAGTATTTATATTATAAAGGATTACTCCCCAGTATGATAATGACATAAGGCGTAGTTAAAGTCAAACATTTTTCATTTCTAGTGATATATATGTTTCTGTATCGTTCCAATTTTAGTATATGTGCTGCCGAAGCGAGCACGTGATATATGTGTTTCTTATTGTATTTGGAATTGATTAAATAATTCCTCAGACATACAGAGTGACACAGGATGTCTTGCCAATGAGGTTTTTTTTTTTAAATAAACGTAAGAATGTATTGAATTGTCTTTCTATGCCAATAGCACAATAAAACGTAGTTTCATATTTTAATAGTTTTGACATGTCATACGTGTAGTGTTTTCTTAGGAATGCTTTGATTTTCCCAAAAGAAAATACTATTGCTTCTTTAGGTTGTTAGTCTTCGTGAGAGTGAACGTAAATTGCAACTTCAGGCTGAAGAACTTGGAATGAAAGTAACAGAGCAAGAAAACATAGCAAGAGAATTAGAACGGGCACATGAACATCTTGTGCTGCAATGTGACAGGCGTCTCACTCTCCAACAAAAAGAACATGAGCAAAAGATGCAATTAATACTACTTCATTGCAAAGGTATTTGACTTTGGTCACATTTGATTAGCCACTGTGAAAAACAGGATATTGTTCTGATCCAGAAAGACCTTTTTAATATTCTTAGTTTTGAAAGAATATATTCCAAATTATTACTCCTATCTGAAATATTAATCTAACACCTAAGTGTAAATACAGTGTAGACAAAAGGCTCCTTTCCATTACTGCTCAGACTCACATGTGCAAATAAATGTCAACCATATGTTTGTTTGTATTTTAAGATGTGAAGCAGAGTTGTAATGGTCAAAAAGATGAGAATAAACGCATGTTGATTACTATGATTACTTTCATTGGATTGGATTGGGTTTGAATCCAGTATCTGTGCATCCCCATGGCACACTCTGTGGAAGTACAGGACGCAGATTTTTCCTCTCTCCTACAAGAAATCCCCTTTACCTACATGCCCTGACATATCAGGCTGATCTACTCTGCCACGTAATGCAGATTGAACTGAATTATATGGCAGTGTAGACTCATGTAATACAGTTCAATCTGCATTATAATGGCAGTGTAGATGAGGTCTAGGCCTTCTGGAAGATAATTTAGGGAGAACATGTCAATGATAACCCTCCTTTTCCCCCCAGCAGCAACTGTTACTGGCTCCTTCTGCATTTTGTGGAACAAACATTAATTCCATCAAGTGTAATCTATGAGACTGTACTTTTTCAGCTATTACTTGATATTTTCCTTCTTAAGGCATGCAGGATTCATTTTTAAAATTTGGTGACTTGATTATAGAATCATAGAGTTGAAAGAGACCTCGTGGGCCAGCCAGTCCAACCCCCTGCAATGAAGCAGGAAAATCGCATTCAAAGCACCCCTGACAGATGGCCATCCAGCCTCTGTTTAAAAGCCTCCAAAGAAGGAGCCTCCACCACACTCTGAGGCAGAGAGTTCCACTGCTGAACAGCTCTCACAGTTAGGAAGTTCTTCCTAATTTTCAGGTGGAATCTCCTTTCCACCTGAACATTATCTTCTCTTTGTTTTCAACTATTATGAAGTGCATACTGCACAACAATTTCCTGGTATTGTACTAATTACATTTCACACATTCTCGCAAATTTAATAGACTCACCCAGTCTTATGGTTCCGGTTTTAAATATTTCCTTGGATTTAGGTCATGGGCCTCCAAATGACTGATGTGAACACATGTATCATATAATTTGTTCTTATTATGTAGCGGTTCCCAACCTTTGCTCCTCCAGTTGTTTTGGACTTAAACCCCCAGAAATCCCAGCCATCTTACCAACTGTTCGGAATTGTGGGAGTTGAAGTCCAAAGCACTTGGAAGACCAAAGATTGAGAACCAGTGGCATAAATGTACGCATGATACTCTATGGTCCAAACGTCAGGAAGCCTGTCAGAGGTCAGGTTGAACAGAGTAACATCTTTATTTTCATAAGATATTGAATGGTTGTTGCTTTAGCAGGTTCCAGTGCTTGGGTCCAACTGTATAATATTCAAAGTGAGCTATGTCAGACCTTTTCATTGAATCATTTCAGTCACCCAGTATACATTCTCTCCCCTCTGACACTCTTACATATTTACCCTCAGCTGTCACTAATGAACTCCCTTTTTTTTCAAAACAATAAAAAATCCTCTCTCCCCTCAGAGTTCTCTGTGCTGGCAATGACTGCCGTTTATTCATTTGTACTTCACCTCCCTAAGTTCAGAGTTATTTAGTAACAGTTTTACCAGTTCTCTTACTTTTTGCTTTTCCTGTTACGGTTTTATGTCTTAACAAACACAAATCCACTACAAGTCGTAGTACATAAATCACAAAGGTAAATGTTTTTTTTCCCAACTTATATAATACAATATTAAACGTATAACCAACTTATATGATGCACCATTGAGCAATATACAATGAACAAAAAACTGTTGTTTATACAGTGATTTTAATCAGTAACAAAAGTAGAGTCTTTTTTGCTGTAAAGCAGACTTCTCTTAAGGGCATAAGATCCCTTACTTTAGAGAAAGATACTCTTGAGTGGAGTTTCCAGTCCCTTGTAAGAGGATATCCACGTAGAGGATTTCCAGACCGGTTTCGACTAACATCTTCCTCAGGTGGATAAATGTGAAGAGTACAATGAAGTGGACATCAAGTTCTCCAGAATAATAATTCTTCCTCGGGTGGATAAGGATACAATGAAACAGTGGATCTAAAGGGAATATACACAGGTGGCTAGAACATGTCCCAAAAGGGATAAATATTTCCATATGTTGCTAACATGTAAGGCGTACAAAACAAAAGAGGCATAGGTACTTACATCAAGATCTCCTAAACCGGTTTCACATCCTGTCACTACATAGATTTACCTCTGTTTAATCTGTAAGGGTAAATTTACCTTTATTTTTACCTGTATGAATGGTGTCCATTTTTCTGGAAAATTTCCACCAAAGTGTCATCATTAAATGTGAACATTTGAAGATATCACTTAACTCTCAGAATTTCAGAGAAACCAAAACTGAAATGTAGCCTACGGTACTATTGTTTTTACGCTATAGAATGAAACTGAAACAAATGCAATGATGAACCTGAAATTAGATTTCTCTTTCTAGAGCAAGACAGTGAAAATATTTCAGAAGCTCTTAAAACTCACGAGGCAAAAGTCCAACAATTGGAAAAAGACTTGTTCTTCTACAAGAAAACTAGCAGAGAATTAAAGAAGAAATTAAAGGAACTGGTTGGAGAATCGATACACCCTCCTCCTCAGACACATAGTAAATGTATGAATATTACATTTATAAGTTATACCTAGCAGAAAGTGTAATGAAATTGTTTTGATATTTTAAAAATATGGTCAATACAGAAGGTATATTAGCCATCCTTTAAAAAAATCATGATGATGATCTGTGTTGTTGTGTGGCTTTAGGTTGTTTCTGACGGGCAACCCTAAAGCAAAGTTGTCACAGGGTTTTCTTGGCAGAATTTGTTCAGAGGTGGTTTGCCTTTATCTTCCTCTGAGACTGAGAGATGGTCACATGCCTGAGATGACTAGGTGGGATTCCATGGCTGAGTGGGAGTCCAATGCTCAAATCACTACACTATGCTGTTTTTTGTGTTTTCTTAAATAAGATCTAATCAATCACTTTAGCTTTCAGACGTTCAAAGCAACATTTCCAGGTTTATCTTTTCCCGTAGAGTCTTTAGCTTAAATCTAAAATTCCCACCAAAGGAAATAAGGTGTGGATTTTTTTTTTACTCCCTGGTTCTTCCAGTTTGGGTACCTTTCAGAGCATCATGGGAGATGACATTCGAAATTGGTCAAAATAATCTCCATATCAACTGCTCCACCCATCTGCAGAGCATCTGCTATCATGGAGCCCTTCGCATATGCCTGAAAGTAAACATATAACTCAGGATACAGACCATTACATTGTATTGCTCCCTTTTCATTTATCAGTTTCTGCCAATATACTTTGGTTGTTTTAAAATTTATTTTAAAAATTGAAATAATAAACCAAACAATGTATAACCAAGAAAAACACCCTATAACAGGCATGGGCAAACTTTGGTCCTCCAGATGTTTTGGACTTCAATTCCCACAATACCTTACAGCCTGCCATATCATCATTATCCCAAAGCATCTAACCAGCTGTTTGACTCTTTATTTTCAGGTTTTTCTTCTACTGATGGTACACCGAACAGAGAAGAAGCAATTACTTTGTCAGAAGAACCTGGATGGACAAACAAATCAGTAGGAAGATTCAAAGAAGCAATCCACCTGACAGATAATTTAGAAGTAGAGCAAAAGTCTCAAACATTTCAAGAGGATGTTGTAGAATTTGTAGCCAGGACATCTCATAGTCAGGAAGAGCAAGCAGGAAAAGTGCAATATCTTGCAAAATCTCATCCACAAGGAGTCTTTCATTCTCATACAAAAGACACTATGACCCAGCTTCAAGGATCAACCCCAGTAAAACTTTCTCGCAAAGAATTGCGTTGCATCCCTGCATCTGAGCTTTCCTCAAGGCGCTCAGGACTTGCGGTTGGTATGAATTATGGTCACGCAGATTCCACTGAAATGCTTCAAAAGCCTAATGAACTTAATACATAATTCACACTAACCTTTTGAAAGAAGTCACTAATTTTGATACTTCCTAGTGCATTTTTGGCAGCTATGATAACAACTTCTCACTCCTGTACCTGATGATGCAGAGCGCATGGAATGCTCACGTATAAACGTATGATGCTCCTGGCACAGTGATGTTAAAGGACAGAAACAAAATGGATGTTTGCCTTTTACAAAATTACTTTTTGAATTGTATTAATTTTAAAAACAATTGGCATAGATTTGTATTCTTAAATTTATAAAGTATTTCCTCATCTTACCTCCCATACTTCAAAGAATATAGTGGCTGGATGTGGTAATACTTTCTTTGTCTGCATGAGCAATCTATACTATAACAGTAGTCATATTTATTAGAACAATACTGAGGATGGTTAAAAAAAGGAGTAAGCACCAGATAACAGAATCTTACACCAGATGGGTCGTTTTCTCATATTGTGGCTAAATATGAAAATATAAGTGGAGCAGTACAGAGCACCATCATCAACAGAGAGCAACTTTGGCAGGCATAGGAACACTTTTGCCTTGTCCTCCAAATTTTGGCAAATCCAAATCACTGTGGTTGATTTGGATCTCTGAAGTTCAAGAAGAAAAATGCTTCTTCCTAAGGTTCATACTGAATACAAGTTTCAATTACACAAACATGTATTCAAAACTTTGTGGCCTGCACTATAGTGTGAATTTGTGCCTGAGATGTCAGTGTGTCTGGCTTTTCCTGGAAAGCAATTTCTCTAGATTTATTCCAAGATAATTGTCAGAACAGGCAGACCTATTTTTCTTAGAAATCATTTCCTGAGAGAGCAAAATAAATTGCATGACGTAGGTGATTAGTCCACCTGCCCTCAATTTGGACAACAGTAACTTAATTCTGATATGTAAGAGAATATCTATATACCAAAAATGAGCCACATAAAATCAGAACACAATGTTGTAAGGCAATTCTGGTATAAAATAAATATTAACTGCTATGTCAGGAACAGCCTTGCATGATCATGTATTCTCTCTCACACTCACTCAGACCTACACATACTTAGTTCGGTCATTCCTCCCATATTGGTTTGGTTTACCCAAAGTTATGATTAAATAATTTTAGTTAGAATGAGCTGAAAAACTTCTAAACTTGTTCATAGTGCTTTGATCCATTTTTGCCCTTTGGTTCACAGAAGCAGACACAATCTAGTCTAAGTGCCTATTCGCAGAGCGAGATAATGATTATTGGTTGCTCACTTTCTCCTGTTGCTATTCCTGCCATTGCTCCTGTCAATCTGGAAGATTCCACTACCATCCAAAGCAGATTTTTTGGAAGCTGCTAAGGAAATGTGTGAGAAATCCTCTCTTCTTTGACCTAGTAATTTTAGTTAGAATGAGTAGTTCCCCTGCTGGGAACCAGTGAATCTTTTAATTAATTTTAAGAACGTAAGTGGATACATTATGCTCCAGATATGCAGAAGTACTTTTCTGCAATATAATTCTACAAGCATACTACTATAAAACTGTTTATATGTTTATATTGCAAGGTGCAAAGCAATAGTGGCTGAATCTAATTGTTTTTTTAATTACATTTTCTTGACTGATGCTGTGTTGAATTGAGCTGTGGATTTTGCAAATGCTACTTGTTTGATGTTTACATATTTTACTTTTGTTACATTTTGTATTTACACAATTTGGTAAAACCAAATACAGTATCTTACAACATCAAACTGAAGTATAGTAAACTATCATTTTTCTTCCTGGCTATTACAAATGTGTGGTTTGAAAATAACTGCAAGTACAAAATATTTATAAGGAGCTTTATTGTTTTTATTCACTCTCTTACAGCACACAATCAGCTGCTGCTAACAGCTTTCCCATTACCAGGAACATAACATCTCATTGAAATAGCCTTGTACTGTATCGTGTTTTAGATACTGTTTAAAGCAGTGTTGTTTGTTTATTAGAGCTTTCATACACCTCTCTTCAGCCACAAGTGCTGTTAATTTGACCATTCCCTGCTCCCAGTCTTATAATCTAAAGACACACAATGGAAAGGCAGCAGGGGGAAATTAAGTCGGTCAGGCACTGCATCTTCTTCTCTTCTTCTGACACCACAATCTCTTAAAAGATGCAGCTTTAGAGACACACCCAGCAAACCAAGTATTTTTTGCTCTCAGAAACAAAGTTTTATTTTGAAAAACTCAGAAAAGGTAAACAAAATACAGAGAACTAGAGCTCCAATGCTGCCACCAAAATGGAGGAACCCTGAGCAGTGACAGCACATTTGCTTTTATAGTTTCACAGTGCTGTACCACTCTTTTGGGACATTGCTCAATCATTGTGAGGCTATATTGGTTAAAGGACAATCAGGCAATTTCACATCATAGTCCATGTCCTCACCCTGTAGCCTCCCTTTGTCCAGTTCTTATCAGTAAGAATCTTTAGTCCCAACCCACCATGTACAAGACAAGTGCTAATGCAAATGAGACAGGAGAGGTTCTGGCAAGCCTCCAGCTTATCAAGGGCATCTGTGTCCAGCAGGGCAAGTTGCATCCATGGCCTGGGCAGTGGCAGCTGGGCCTTTCCTCTGCTTCTGGGCCTAAGCATGATGGAAGTGTGCCTGCCTCTTTTTCCCATCCTTCTGTGGCCAGGGTACTGGCAATAAAGCTGAAAATCCTGACACATAGACAGATACCATTGGCTTGCTCTTACCTGTTTACCTTACATGGTTGCAGATATACACTTGCAAGTGGATTCTATGCTTGTTTACTAAGAAAGCATACTGAATTTGAGTCCCTATGTCAGAAGAAAGATGGGATAAAAATAAGGCAAACTAATGCATACAATAAATTTATGGCAACCCAGGAATGCTTGCAAGACGTTGTTACTGTAATCGGAAATATTTAATATATGAAATTTAGAACTAATAAACTGCTATGTAACCCATAAGTCCTTTGTTCAAGCAAATAGTGAGTGAGTCAACACTGTATGCAACAATGCCATGGGCATCAATTAATTTATACCCTTTTTGACCACAATGTTCTCTTGAGTTTTCCCCTTCAACAATACAAATGAAAGCCACATACCAGCTAAATCAAATGTTAGTTCAGTTATCCATCTCACTCTTTGGCACAAGGCATAAGAAAGATATGCTACATTAAGTTACAACTATCATGGTCCCATAAACCAGCATGCTTTAAATCAGCCTGCTTTAAGTGTTCAATTCTTGGCTTTTTTTAAAAGACCCATTTACAGGAAATTTTAAAAATTGAGGAATTGTATTGTCGAAGGCTTCCATGGCTGGAATCACTGGGGGGTTGTAGGTTTTTTGGGCTATATGGCCATGTTCTAGAAGCATTCTCTCCTGACGTTTCACCTGCACCTATTGCAGGCATCCTCAGAGGTTATGATGTTAAACCCCTGTGCCGGCAGGGCTGAAGATCGACAGGTCGCAGGTTCAAATCCGGGGAGAAGTGGATGAGCTCCCTCTATCAGCTTGAGCTCCTCATATGGGGACATGAGAGAAGCCTCCTACAAAAATGATAAAAATATCAAATCATCCGGGCGTCCCCTGGGCAACGTCCTTGCAGATGGCCAATTCTCTCACATCAGAAGCGACTTGCAGCTTCTCAAGTTGCTCCTGACACAAACAAAAGCACAGCACAATATTATTATACATTACTCTATTGCACTATACCACTATACTGCAATGATTAGTAACATTACATGTAATATATAATATACAATTATACTATTACATATTATATTGAACTATACTATTATACCACAATATATATTACACTAGAATCATAGAATCATAGAGTTTGAAGAGACCTCATGGGCCATCTAGTCCAACCCCCTGCCAAGAAGTAGGAAAATTGCATTCAAAGCACCCCCTACATATGGCCATCCAACCTCTTTTTAAAAGCTTCCAAAGGAGCCTCCACCACACTCTGGGGCAGAGAGTTCCACTGCTGAACGGCACTACCAGCATATTATACTATTAGTATTATATAATACATTGTACTAAAAATATTAAATCATTTTAATGATTGTTCTACTGTTTATGGAAGTATTTTAATTTGGTTTATGCCTAACTGTAATTGTATAATTGTAATTGTTTGTGCTGGCATTGAATTTTGCCATTACCTATGTGGAAACCGCTTTGAATCCCCTTCGGGGTGAGAAAAGCGGTATACAAATACTGTAAGTAAATAAATAAATAATCCAATATAAGTTGTAGTAGATATAATATATATTATATTAGAACATTATTATATATATTAGTATTATTATATTAGAATGCTATTTCTATATATTATTATATTGTATGTATACAATATATATATATCTATATATATATATTTCTTCCCCCTTTTTTTCTTCTTCCCCCTCTTGCTTTATTTCATTTTATTAATTTCATGTAACTGATCCTGGCGACTTCCTCTGCGCCTCCCTCATCTTCTCCTTTCGCCTAATGGCGGGCCCTCTGACCCCACCAGCCACAGCGGACGACGTCACAAGGCATCCCCGCGCATGCGCCGTCGCCAAGTACCCTCCCTCTTCTCTTTCCCGTACGGCGCGGCGACCTGAGACATAAACAAACTCGGCGGGAGGGGTGGCCGTGCCAGCTTGTGTTTGCTCGCGCTCGCTCTCTCGCGCGCCGCTGTCCCGTCTTTTTCGCACCCCTCCCTCCGTGCTCCCCCTCCCGCTACCTACTGCGCCTGCGCGTTGCAGCCTCCGCGAGCTTCTCTACGGTAGCAGCGCCTGGACCCCGCGGGTCGCCAGCTCCAGAGGGCCCAACCGTCGCCTCGCTCGAGGAAGGCTTTGGGGTTTCCTGAATCAGGACTGCTGTTTATGGTGAGCGAGAGGGGCAGGTGTATTCCCCCCAGAGACTCTTGGAGTGCCATTAAATGTAAGGTTGATAGGAGTTGTAGCCCAACAGCAACAGGAGAGCGGCTCTTGCCTATTCTAGGCTAAGAGCTCTTTCAGGAAACCCACTCCCAGTGGGATCTCGGAGCTCTAGGCTGCTGCGTTGCCTTTTGAGGCCTTCAGGGGTCCCAGCAACCATGGCCAAGGGTCAGGGATTCTGGGACCTGAAATACCCAAACCTGGAGGACCAGAGGTTGGAGCCACTGCGCTCCACAATCCTTCAGTGCTCCAGAAATGAAGCTTGAAGGGACCTGAAGCTCTAGTGTATGGGCAAACTTGGGCCCTCCAGGTGTGTTGGACTTCAACTCCCACAATTTCTAACAGCCTCAGGCCCTTTTCTTAAGAGGCTGAGGGGGAAAAGGAAAGGGCCTGAGGCTGTTCGGAGTTATGGGAGTCCAAAACACCTGGAGGACCCAAGTTTGCCCATGCTTGCTCTAGAATCATAGAGTTGGAAGAGACCTCATGGGCCATCCAGTCTAACCCCCTGCCAAGAAGTAGGAAAATTGCATTCAAAGCACCCCCAACAGATTTATTTATTTATTTATTTACTGTATTTGTATACCGCCTTTCTCAGTCTATTGGCGACTCAAGACGTTTTCCAACAAAACAGTATACATAGTATCATAATACAATTTAAAACATTTAAATTACATAAATCACAACAACAATAAAAACAACATCATTGGCGTCTCCTTATTATCAAGCATTGTCCAGATCCATCGTCAGTCAGATGGCCATCCAGCCTCTGTTTAAAAGCTTCCAAAGAAGTAGCCTCCGCCACACTCTGGGGCAGAGAGTTCCACTGCTGAATGGCTCTCACAGTCAGAAAGTTCTTCCTAATGTTAAGATGGAATCTCCTTTCTTGTAGTTTAGTGATTCCCAAAGATTGAGTCTCCAGGTTTTTTAGGACTTCAACTCTCACAACTCCCAGTCAGATTGTCCAATGTTCAGGGATTCTGGGAGAAGTTCAAAACACCTGGACAACCAAAGGTTGGGAACCATTGCTCTAAGGCAGTAGTTCTCAACCTGTGGGTCCCCGGGTGTTTTGGCCTACAACTCCCAGAAATCCCAGCCAGTTTACCAGCTGTTAGGATTTCTGGGAGTTGAAAGCCAAAACATATGGGGACCCACAGGATGAGAACCACTACTCTAAGGGATCTTTTAAAACGACCCTCATTCAGACACTTTTAATTTCTTCCTGTATCCCTTCCCAAGTCATTCTAGAGCAGTGACCTTCAGCCTTTGGTGCTTTGGTCTTTAACTCCCAATCACACCCAGCCAGTTTGCCCAAATGGTTGAAGATTTTGGGAGCTGAAGTCCGGAACACTTGGAGGAGGGCATAGGTTGCGAAGCACTGCTCTAGACCATTGATTCCCAACTTTGGTTCTCACCTTCTGGTCTGAGACTATAATAAATACATTCATTCATTCAACCTTGGTTCTCTTGTTCTTTTTGTTTTGTGTTGTTTTTTAGATTTCCACTCCCAGCCTGTTTGTCTAATAGTCATGGATTCTGGGAGCTAAAGTTCAAAATACTTGAAGACCCAAAGGTTGGGAACAGCTGCTCTAGACTGGTAATTTCCAAACCTTGGACTTTCAAGTTTTTTTTTTTTAGTCTTCAGCTCCCATAACCCTGAGTCAGCTTGACCAAGAGTCAGGAATTCTGGAATTGGAAGCCGAAACCCAAAATACCTAAAGATTTGCAAACCACTGTCCTGGAGCATTGCCTTTGCCTATTAGGCCTCTTCTACATTGCCATAGAATCCAGGTTATCAAAGTTATTTGCTTTGAGATGATAATATGAGTCTGCGCTACCATGTAATCCAGTTCAAAACAGATATTTTGGATTTTATATGGTAGTGAAAAAACAATGGTTTGAAATTGTAGGAAAGGAGATTCCACATGAAGATTAGGAAAAATTTCCTAATTGTGAGAGCTGTTCAGCAGTGGAACTCTCTGCCCTGGAGTGTGGTGGAGGCTCATTTATTTATTTGGGTTGTTGTGGGTTTTATCGGGCTATATGGCCATGTTCTAGAGAATGCTTCTAGAACATGGCCATATAGCCCGAAAAACCTACAACAACCCAATGATTCCGGCCATGAAAGCCTTCGACAATTTATTTATTTATTTAGAACATTTATACCCCATCCTTCTCAACCTCTGAAGAGGGACCCAGGACGGCTTCCAACAGGCCACTATTCAGTGCCAACGCAATAAAACATAGCATAAAATACAGTTAAATACATTTTCACCTCTTCTTTGGAAGCTTTTAAGCAGAGGCTGGATGATGATCTGTCGGGGATACTTTGAATGCGATTTTCCTGCTTCTTGACTGGAGGTTGGACTGGATGGCCCATGAGGTCTCTTTCAACTCTGTGATTCTGAGAAGGGGCCTTAGATCCTGCAATTGCCTCCTGTCTCATACAGGTTGTGTTTCCCTTATCCTAAATGCTTGGGTTACCAGACGTGTTTTGAAATATTTTATTGCTATCTTATGCCTTCAAGTCATTTCTGCCTCTTGGTGGCCTTAAGGCTAACTTACCACAGGGTTTTGTTCAAGATTTGTTCAGCAAGAGCTTTGTTACTGCCTTCTGAATCTGAGAGAGTGTGATCCTCAGAAGTTCTTACACTTCCACTGAATATGTAATTGGAGTTGTAGTTGAGCAGCACCAGGAGAGCAACTCTTTTCTACTTTCACAAATGCCTCTTTCAGGAAACACACTCACATATGATCTTTGTGCTGTAAACTTGTTCATTGTTTCCTTTTAAATGTAACAACATTTGAGTCTTTTTGTATCTACATGGAGAGATACTTTCCTCTTGTAAAGTGAGGAAATATGTCATCCCTGTCATACCACTTACCAGTGTTAGGAAAATATCCATGAGGGCTGAAATGATTCAGGACAGCTCAGGATAAAAATCTTTCAATACTTATTCCCTGCACCTCTTGTAGAATGTGATAGCTTTACTCAGTCTTCTGATCAAATTATTTAACATCTCTGTATGGAGTTAAACCAGGCATAATTTGAATGCACCAGTGTTGTTACAGCAAAACAGTTTTCATCTTCCCAACTTCTTCCTTTGCTTTATTTTTTAGGAAACACCTTGATTCAGAGATTTGTGTCATTACATCTCTGTTAGGAAAATGGCTTCTGCAGTAATTAGTTCAGTGCCTACTACGGCATCTAGGTTTGCTCTTTTACAAGTTGATAGTGGCAGTGGATCTGATTCTGAATCTGGGAAAGGAAGAAGTGTTCGGAGTGGTGGAAAGTCCCAAGCATCAGGCAGCAAGTCAACCACAAATGAGAAGAAAAAAGAAAAGAGGAGGAAAAAGAAGGAGCAGCAGCAGAGTGAAGCAAATGAGGTAATAATGTAATTTAACAATAAATTGTGACAGGTGTTTAGGCACATAAAAAAGGAAATGCCAAACAATGATCAGGCAAGACATATACATACAAGATATAATGAAGATTCTTACAGTGTTTGGAAAGAACTTTAGATGTTTTTAGCATCTAACTATCAAACTGCTTGACAGTAAGATGCTAATTTTGAATTGCCTCAAAAATTCTGGTGGCATACATGGTATCTGAATGGAGATGAGACACAGTTCCACCTTCAAGTTCACTTCCTACAAAGAGAAGGAACATAAAAATTGCCAGAACAATTTTTTAATTGTTAAAAGTGACTTAAGATACTGCAGGTCGCTTCTGGTGTGAGAAAAATGGCTGTCTGCAGAGACATTGCCCAGGGAATGCCCAGATGTGTTACCATCCCGTGGGAGGCTTCTATCATATCCCTGCATGGGAAGCTGGAGTTGACAGATGGGAGCTCACCCTGTCTCATGGATTCAAACCACTGACCTTCAGGTCAGCAGTTCAGCCAGCACAAGGGTTTAACCAATTGAGCTACCACAGCTCCTTATTGGTCCAACCAATAAACTAAACTAATAAAGTAAACTAATACTTCTGCTGTTGTTTATAGTTTGAGCCTCCCTTGCTAGTACTTTTACTTGCATAGAAGTGATGCAGATATCTTGTGATCCCTCCATTTTTTTGGCCTGTGGTGGATACCAGAATGTTGTCCATCTTGCTTCAGCAATCAGCAGTCTAAAGTGTATTTGTTTGCTGAGCTAAATACAGTTTGCAATTGGTATTGTTGTTAGTGTTTTTCCCCAGTGGCGTTTAGTGATATTTTTGGCTTAACACTGATTTTTGACCATGAATACTGGAAATCATCATGGTAGGAATAGATCCTAAAAGGTGTCCTATCAAAATTTTAAATAAACAAATAATTTCCTACCTGTTATTGTTTCTTCACTGAAGCCACCAGAATACAGAAGTGACACCATCATTCAAGTATGTATAGTAAGCATATCACAGATTGTAAATTGTATATTTGTTGTTGTTTTGTAGCTCAGAAATCTTGCATTTAAAAAAATTCCTCAGAAAGCTTCCCATGGAGCTGGTTTGTCTCAGCCTGAGCAAGCATTAGCCAATTCATCACGGAAAGACTCTCAGGAAGAAAACTGGCAAGAGTGGAGACAGAGAGATGAACAGGTAGTATTTTTGGTTGAGTTCAAGATCTTACATCACTGTAGTTTTATGTATTTTATAGAATAGATAGCTTAACAATGCAATCCTACATATTAGAGACGAACAGATCTTATTTGGGAAATGGAGTGACAACAATGGAACTGAGCTCAAAAGCCTCCAAGATGCCAAAAAAGGGAAAAGCCAACATATACCTCTATGTACATTTGTCTGTCTTGTTTGTGTATAAAATGACATTGAATGTTTGCCGCATATTTATGTTCTGTGATCCACCCTGAGTCCCCTTCAGGGTGAGAAGGGCGGAATATAAATACTGCAAATAAATAAACAAATAAATCAGTTTTATTTGGCTTTGGATGTACAAATATGGATGCATGATTTTAACCTGAAGTGATAGATCTTTGTGCCTTTGGCTGAAAATTAACCCAATAAAACATATTTGGAGTAACTTCTACACAAATATACAAAATGGATTAGGCTATAATCGGTATGAGTCCTGAGCATATTTACTTTGAAAGGCATTATGCTTAGTTCAGTAAAACATGCTCCCTTAGGATTACAGATGTTAGTATAGAAAGAAACAAACTCAACAAATTTAGGTCTTGTTCCTGTATCTAAAATTATGTTTATGTATTAAACTTATTCCTGTTACTGCTTCTGAATGTTACACAAGGCACATTATGTAGCAGTGTGTTTTATTTTTATAAAGTAACTAGCCATCCCCTGCCACGTGTTGCTGTGGCCCACATGGGGGTACTGTGTGGGAGGTTTGACCCAATTCTATCGTTGGTGGGGTTCAGAATGCTCTGTGATTGTAGGTGAACTGTAAATCCTAGCAGCTACAACTCCCAAATGTCAAGATTCTATTTTCCCCAAACTCCACCAGTGTTCACATTTGGGCATATTGAGTATTCGTGTAGAGTTTGGTCCAGATCCATCATTGTTTGAGTCCACAGTGATCTCTGGATGTAGGTGAACTACAACTCCCAAACCAAAGGATGCTGCCCACCAAACCCTTCCAGTATTTTCTGCTGGTCATGGGAGAACTGTGTGCCAAGTTTGGTTCAATTCCATCGTTGGTGGGGTTCAGAATGCTCTTTGATTGTAGGTGAACTAGAAATCCCAGCAACTACAACTCCCAAATGACAAAATCAATTTTTTGAGTAAAGGACATACATTGGGGTGTTAGGTGTCTTGTGTTCAAATTTGGTGTCAATTAATCCAGTGGTTTTTGAGTTCTGATAATCCCACAAATGAACATTACATTTTTATTTATATAGATAAAGATAATTTAAACAGTGCATTATTTGATAACTATGTCAAAATATTACTTATAAAGCCAAAGAATAGCAAGTGAAAATTATAGTGAAAATAGGTAAACATTCCCACACACTGTAGATCAGGTCTGCACAACCTGTGGCCCTCCAGCTGTTTGCGACTTCAACTCCTAGTCACCCTAGCCAGCTTTCCAGTGGTCAGAAATTGTGGTAGCTGAAATTCAAAACATGTGCAGAGTCACAGACTGTGCAGGCCTGCTCTAGATATGTCTGAAAGCAGCTGTTACAATGCTTAGCTAAGTGTCTTTTATTATTCTATACATAGAAATACTGAACTAAAAAGCAGGTTTGAAGTCTTGAGGTCAAGTAGTAGGCACATGTTATGATCTCCTGAATCCCTCAGAGGAGATTGCAATTTGAGCTGGGGAAGGCTTTCCAATAAAGCTCTCCTTTTAAAATATCATCTCCTCCCAAACTAGGACAAAGAGCAAACACTCGTCTCCCAAAAAGAGGACTTTATAATCTTAACTCTACCAAGGTTGACTTTTGAAAGCAGACTTTAGGCAGGACACTTGGATTTATAGATAAGAAAAGGATACATAATTTCTGAATACGAAAGTGGCTTGAAAATTTTTCCCAGTTCTACGAGGTAGCTTTTTTTTTGTAGATTTGAATAACATCTGAGTTGAGAGCTTTCAAATGTCTAGTACTAAAGCAAAATCTGTCTGTTGCTAGTCTCTGTGCAGGCAGGCTGTTGGATTGTAGCAGGAAAGGTTTTTACATGCCAGATATATACTATGTGCACAAGGTGACTGCTGTCTTCACAGGAGCCTAGGACCTTTCCACACAGCCATATAACCCAGAATATCAAGGCAGAAAATCTCACAAAATCTGCTTTGAACTGGGTTATCTGAGTCCACACTGCCATATATTCCAGAACATGTAGGATTTTATTCAGTTGTCTGGAAGGGGCCTAGGTAATCTTAATCCTTATCTCCCTAACAGTTGGTACAGTTTCAATTTCTTTTATTCTGTAGATTTACAAATCTACAGAATAAAAAAAGGTAGAAAACCACCCAATTAAAGCACAGCTGAAAAATAAACTTCTGATGTTATATTAGGGATATTTCTATAAAATCTGTATTAAGGCATAACCCTTCTGTTTCTTTAGCTGACTTCTGAAATGTTTGAAGCTGATCTTGAGAAAGCTTTACTTCTAAGCAAACTAGAATACGAAGAACATAAAAAGGTACTTCCTGCTTTTATTATGATGAAAATGCAGTGAATGTTTTTATCAGACTCTGAATCAGCTAGAAAATCAGATGTTGTATTAATCTACAGGTAATGTTTTGAACTTGTATATTTTCTTTTCGGTGTTTCTCAGTGTTAAGCAGAGAATGGTAGCCCTGGATTGGGAGGGGAGCAATGATTTCCATTTGTGTTTTTTGTTGGAAATATTACTTATGTTCTTGTTTTGTTTTTCTTCACCAACATTTGGGTGAAGAAAAAATCCAAGGTTCACATGTGTACTGATGTCAGGGATGATTTGTTGGCCACTGTCTGTATAGAATCCTAGACCAGCTAGTGTGAACTAGCATGACACACCTTACATTGTTAAACATTTTGCTTTCAGTTGATTAACTGATGTGTTTGTACACTACCAGTTTCAAAAATATTTAAAGACAGATAAATGAGTGTGTATCCTTTTGCAGGATTATGAACATGTTGAAAATGCTTCTCCTCCATCAAAGACTATGCATAAGAAAGAAAAAAGAAAAAATCAACAGGGAAAAGACAAACCTCTGACAGTGTCTTTAAAAGATTTTCAATCGGATAGCAGCGTAGGTATGGGATTTTGATGTTATTCTGCATTAAATGTTTATATGAAACATTGAATTCAGCTCAAAGGAGTCACAGGACATAAATATGTGTCATTTGGAATAAATGGCCCGTCTACATGGTCACCTAAATCCGGGGCCAGTCTAGAGCATTGGTGCTTCATTTTTATGCAAAACTAAATTAACAAAATAATTAACAAAATGTAATCGGTAACTCCATTTTTGTTTCAGATCACCTTCCCAAAAAGCAGGAGGTAAGTACTTGATTAATGATCAAAAGGAACATGAACAATTATTTAGATTACACGGATACTCATTATCCAAAATGATTACTCTATCTGCCTCTGAGCAAATACATATTTTGACACCTGTATAATAAGTATTGCTGTGTATTCTGTTTTGGGGACTAACACAGACAGACATAAAGCTATATTGTAGAATACTCAAATTAATAACCATGTTAGAAATTATTTATTTGTGCTATTTAATTAAAATAAAAGTAGCACTTGTTTTTTTTTTCTAAAAATGAATAATCTCTGTGATACAGCAGCAAACATTGCACTAGAGAGAAAAATGTGTCCCTGAGGGGTGTAAAATGGCTCTCCTCCATCCATAACAATGTTCTTTGTTTGATCTTGTACCGATTCATTCCTAATTTTGGTGACCTTTTTTTCTTTGTTGTGCAACTTAGTTTTGAATGATTTTGTGCTCACTGCCAGTCAGGACATACAACAGGGAATGTTACCAGATGCCTATAATCTTAATCTGAGTATGGGAAAAGCATACTTCCTTCTGTTGTTGTGAGATAGGTGCTCTTCTCTGATTTTGTGTGTGTGTGTGTGTGAGAGAGAGAGAGAGAGAGAGAGAGAGAGAGAAGCAACTTGAGAAACTGCAAGTTGCTTCTGGTGAGAATTGGCCGTCTGGAAGGACTTTGCCCAGGGGACACCCGGATGTTTTACCATCCTGTGGGAGGCTTCTCTCATGTCATCGCTTGGGAAGCTGGAACTGACAGATGGTAGCTCACCCTGCTCTCCAGATTCAAACCTCCGACCTTTCAGTCAGCAGTTCAGCCGGCACAAGGGTTTAACCTATTGCGCCACCAGGGGTTGGATCACAGGGTATCATTGTTGAAACTGATGGTTTCGTAGATCTACATAAACAATCAGACTGGCTGCATGGTGACACCCTAAGAATAAAATTAAGTATCCTTAATCCCAATGGTTCTAAATACAGTACCAACACAACTGGCTAGCTGGCTTTCTTTCTTTCCTGTGCTTAATTGTCATGAGAGAGTGGTGGTGCAAGCATTTCAGCCTCTGAAGCCTTTGGACCATGAAACCATTAATTGTATCTAATTCTTCAAATGAGCCTAGCTTCCCTTTTCACTTAAGTATTCCAATCACTTTCTTCTGCTGCAGCTGTTCAGAAACATTTGCCTCTGTTTTACATAGTTTTCTTGAGTGAGTTGTCCAAACATATGGTTTGTTTCAGCCAAGACAACTTAATTCAATTGTTATAAAGCTGTCTTCTTTTAAAAAGAAAGTAACCAAAGCCTATAGATCATTCTAACAACAATTTTGTAATAGGACACAAGTTGAATAAGGGGGGCAATGAATGTTTTTCCAATATCTGTTGACCAAATTACACCTCTTGCTATGAGCCCACTCCAGGTTGATTGATATAATGGGTGAAGTTATGGGCCATGGGGCACCGTGCTGGTAAAACTATCTGAAAATAAGTATTTCTTGTTCAGTTGTACTGAAAATTAAGAACAGGTTTCTTGACAGGAACTGAGTTCACATACCATCTTGCACGATGGTGAATTCTTCAACAGACTAGAAGATGATGTGCATAAAATACTTGTTAGAGAAAAAAGAAGAGAACACACCACAGATAATGGAATGGATAACAACGCATCTCGTGAGCACACACAGGTATGTTAAGCAGAAATTCTTAAATTAATACTTATGCAATTATCTTGAAAAATGCAGTAGAAATAGACAAAATTGGCTGGCTGAGGGGAAAGAAAGTAAATGTATAAAATACAAAAAGTCCCCAACATATTCCTTACTCAGCAAAGTCTCTTGTAAAAAAATGATGCTGCCTGGACTTGCTTTTCTTCTGTTCCCATTCAGTTTTCTTTTGTATCACATCTGCTTTTCTTAACATTACATAAGCTATTCTAGGATACTTTTAGCTCAGGGGGCAAGGGCAGGTTACTTTAAATTTGTACTAAAACAAAGTACAGGTTGAATCCAGAAATTTGAAATACCCAAAAATCTGATTATTTTTAATTGGTAGCTTCCAAATTCTGCCTTTGGGGAAAGGAGGCTACATCACATGTCCATTGCCCAACAGGTCACAAGGGCAAGTGCCAAGCTACCTGATTAGTCACAATCTTTATACAGTTCAGAGAGAATAAAAAAAGACTAATGGGGCAGATGGGGTGATTTTCCCTCTTCCTTTCCAGCTACATTGCTCAAAGGGCAGAAAATGTGCTGACAGCTAGGGAACTCAGCTTATCATTTTAATATATCACAGCAAGCCGAGGTTTCATTAAATAGTTCAAGATACCAGTGGTTTCAAAGGTCATTTTGTATATTTTTATGTTTGAAAGTATTTTGAAGTGGTTTACATTTCTTTCAACTCTTTCAACTCTGTTAACCTTATATACATGCTCTTTCTTTTGAAGGATTTTTTCTTGAAAGATGGAAGAATAGAAAGACTGAAACTGGAACTTGAAAAGAAAGATGCAGAAATCCACCAATTAAAGAGTGTAATCACCCAGTGGGAGGTATGTATCCATTTCACAGGTAACTTACTAATTTTAACCAAAGTAAAACCTGCTTTATGATGTCCTTTTTAATGGACAGCAACTCAAATTGTTATTGTACTTATTGTATATATTGCCTATATTATGGAGCCGCGGTGGCACAATGAGTTAAACCCTTGTGCTGGCTAAACTATTGACCTGAAGGTTGGGTTGCTGACCTGAAGGTTGCCGGTTCAAATCCGCGAGACCGAGTGAGCTCCCATCTGTCAGCTCTAGCTTGCGGAGACATGAGAAAAGCCTCCCAGTTAACATCCCAGCATATCCTGGGCAACGTCTCTGTAGATGGCTAATTCTCTGACACCAGAAGCAACTTGCAGTATGTTCTCAAGGCACTTCTTACACAATAAAAAATATTGCCTATATTTGTAAGATGATGGTGCCTAAAAATAAGTTGAATAAAATAATTGTGAATATTTGTACATGCTTCCATACAGATTCCATACAAATTAAATATGTTTTTTTAAAAAATATTTCTTGTCATCAAACCATTTACCTTCAGTTTGCAAAAATCAAAAGAACATACTTGCCTTGCTTTCTTGGCAATATCTTTTTTTTAAAAACAGGGATTTAAAATATTTAATTGGCATTGAATTCCATTTTGTATCTAACTGATATTGCAAAATAACTGACAGTGTTAGATTCTAATTAATAAATTGAAGCATAAACGTAACCTAACAGTTATTTCAGTTGCATGGGCAAGTTTTGACAATGTTTGCATTTTTGTATATTCTACTAACTTGCCTAGGAAAGTCCTATTTCTGGCATGTGGGAAGGTGAGGTGAAGCCATGTATTATCTGTGTTGGTTTGTGTGTGTGTGTGTGTGTGTCAGGAGTGATTGAAAAACTGCAATTTGCTTCTGGTGTGAGAGAATTGGTTGTCTGCAAGGATGTTACCCAGAGGATGCCCAGATGTTTTACCACCCCGTGGGAGGCTTCTCTCATGTCTCATGAGAAGGTGGAGCTGACAGACAGGAGCTCACCATGCTCCCCAGATTTGAACCACTGTTCTTTCAGTCATCAGTCCTGCTGGCACAGTGGTTTAAACCATTGCGCCACCGGAGTAATATTTGTATGATCTGAAAATAATTTTTTCTGTTTATAATCATTGTTGAGATGAATTCTGTATTGAACTCCTTGTTTGTTGCATTGTGAGCTAGAGGTACACTTGAACGGAGTATGTCTTTCTCTTTTTATTTTGCCATGCCCACCCACAATTTAAAAAGCCCTTCACATTCACCCCCACCAAAAATGGGAGTTTGGTATCATTTCTGGCATCTCACTGTTGTTACACAGTAATTTGCTCTATTAAGTTAACATAAAACTTTGCACCTACATTCTTACATACTTTTACTGGGGAGTAAGCTCCATTGATCACATTGGGATTGACTGCACAGAAAGTAGGCATAGCTTTTTGCTGTACAAAAAGATGGGTTGAAATTAGATGGGTTAAATACATCACTTCCATTTGATCTCTTAAAATCTTTAGGCAAAATATAAAGAAGTAAAAGCACGAAACGCACAGCTGTTGAAAATGCTACAAGAAGGTGAAAGTGAGTACTATTTTGTCCTTTTAAATATGTTGGATTATTTTCAAACAACTATTACATTAAATCTGTTTAAGTGATGTGGGAAATATGAAAACAAGTGTGTTTGTTGAGATTGTATCTGGTAGGCCCGTGGAACCTATAAATCATCTAGTCAATACGTTACAGATATCGCCCCATACCAATTGAGTCAGCATACCTGGTATATATATATGTAGGATGGTGTACTTTTGATCTGTTTTTTTTCTGGTCAGGATGACAAGTTCTTTGTCATGAACATAGTACTAAATAACAGCGTTTACGTTTGCTGGGAATCATAACCGCTGCAGGGTCCACTTAAATATCAAAGGTATATTCCAACTGCTTGTGCTTAAGGCAATGAAACACCTGGTGGATGACTAGAGTAGAAGTGGGGAGACTTGGGATAATTCCACTCAAACACTTGTTATGGTCCATTTTGGAATCTAGTCTACACTCATTAGGCTCTTGTATTAGCACACATTCATCCAATTTGGTTTTCAGTAGCCACTATATCTTGTAACTTGGAAAATTAGAATATCAACCAAAACCCATTGTGATGAATTTGGAGAAAAAACAATTGCTCAGATGCACTCCAACTTTGTATGTATATTCTGCCTACACTGTAGAATCAATGCAGTTTGACACCCCTTTAATTGCCATGGTTCAGTGCTATGGAATCATGGGAATTGTGGTTAACTGAGACACCAGCAGTCTTTGGCAGAGAAGGCTAAAGACATCAAACTACATCTTCTATTATTCCGTAACAGTGAACCATAGCAGTTAAAATGGTGTCAAACTGCATTAATTCTACAGTGTAGATACACCCCTGGACTCTACATTGATAATAAATTTGAGGCATAGACTTGTCCACCTTCAGTGGATGAGTGTTAGTTTCTTTAGTCAGAGGATGTGAACAAGTTCCTTGGAGATATGCTGAACCATTTGTTAGGCCCATGCCTCTATTGGCTGTTTGCATCTGCCAGGGAAGAGTTCTTAATTGGATAGTGAACACTGAAAATGCATTTTTGAAACCTTATATTCTAGCCTTTCTAAAAGAGTTAGTTATAAACCCTGTTCTGTGCTCCAATATCCTTGGAGGTGAGGTTGCACATTAGTTGCGGCAGCTTGGTTATGGAAGTCATTCTTGTTCCATCTTTTGTTCAGTGGGCAGTCAGGATTGTACTGTTTTGTAAGCCTCTCTAAAAGCAGGGGTTTTGGGGCTGTTTTAATTCTGTGTATGTTCTAAAACTTTGTTTTTAGTTTTGTTTATTTAAAATATTTTGTTTCATGTTGCCTTGTAGCAGGCTGAGCGGCAAAAGGCAAATATTTAAATACAGTGTGATTCCCGGTATCCATTGTTTCATTTATCCATATCTGATGAAATATGTCCTCTCTAGACATTCTCTAGATCCTTCAGCAGGACTTTGTGGTATTCTTGGGACAGAATTCCTATTATATCCAGTTTTGCATATCCATGCAAAGTCTAGACGCTTGTTCCTGACTGATTCAGGTTCTACTATAAATTAGGCTGAATGCAGCAAACTATGTCTCTGTCTCCCCCCCCCCCCCCCCCCCCCCCCGTCTCTCTCTCTCTCTCTCTCTCTGTATATATATATATATATATAGAGAGAGAGAGAGAGAGAGAGAGAGAGAGAGTTAGTTGTCTGCTGGCAACTATCTCATTTTTGAAGATACTGAAAGTAGTTTAATCTTTTTTTAACATTTCAGTGAAAGATAAAGCCGAAATATTACTTCAAGTTGATGAATCTCAGAGTATTAAGAATGAGCTGACTTTGCAGGTAAAGATTTTTATTATTTTTATTATTTTTTAAATACCTCTTCAGATTAAAAAAGACATATAAGTTCGAAGATAAGAAAGAAGAATTCTATTTCTATTTCTGGAACAGGACTTTTCTCTTTCTACCACTGACATCTACAAGCTGTTCCTGAGGACCAATAAATTCACAAAAGGAGACATATGGAAGATTACAATAGGGGAATGGGAAAATCTATAGAAATTGGCAATATGCAGTTTCTGTTCGAGCAGAATGATTGTGGGCTTATAGCAGTCATTATTTAGAATCTAGCATATTATATACTATATTTCATCACATAATAGTCACACACACCCCCCCCCCCCAAATTTCTGGGAGAGGGAAAGAGTGTGTGACTATTATGTGGCGAAAAAGGCCGCAGGGGCTTCTTTCAGTGCATAATCATAGTTCCTGTCAGGGTGCATCTGTAGGAGCTGGTGAAGCTTCACCTACCTGAGTGGCTGTCCCTTGCCAGAAGGGAAAGAGGGCAGGTAAGGGGGGTGAATTCAGTGTCAAAATGGTAGTTGCACCATTATCTCACTTGTCTGGGCAAGTGAACTAAGGATTCAGTTATCATATGGAGAATGGTAAAATTCTGTTTTTGCCTTCCCCCAAAGAGGGTGCAATTATTATGCAATGGCAACTGCAATGAAATACAGTATATAACGAAGCTCCTTTATGCCATTTTGTAATTCATGTGAACTTTCAAGGCAGCTAATATCAATCAGAAAAACCAGATTACTCAAATTTACAGTTAATATTCCAATCAGAAAAAAAATGAAGAAAAGATATAGCAAAGCCAGAAACAAATTCTACTTTCATACAGATGTTAAGTATCATCTAGTATCATACATATCTTAAAGAATAATATAGATCTTTGGACACTCAAGTGGTTTAAGGGGAAGGATTTGAGTGAAGATCCTAGTATCAACCTTTAGGTTCTTCCTGCAAGAAAGAACTATAGTCATTTTAGAAAATGTCTTTTAAATCCTAATGGAACAAGAATTACACCACTGGCCAGTTGATTTTGACACAGACCTTTATAATTGTGAATGAGCTGATTGAATAGAGGTGCAAAACTGGTGGGTATGGTAATAAGGTGACAAGTTGAATTTTAATGATGGTTATTGGGGACAAAAGCAGGAGGATAGATATTGCCTAAATCCAAGATGAGTAGATAAGATTTCTTTGCATATTGATCCAGACCAACATGAATATGTCTTTGAATCCCCTCTACCTGATTTACAGTGAATTCTAGGAAAGCTATTGCCAGTTGCTGTTTTGAAAAAGGCTTAAAATTAGATTGAATCCACATATTAGTGTAATGTAGAAACCTTTTTCTCATATATTTTACTGCCTTCCATATACATTTGGATAATGGCTTTTTATAAATATTTTATTATTTTTAGCAGTGTTCCTGTCCCTGCCCTCTTTCTGCTACATTCTGCCATATTTTATAAAACTGGAATGTTGCAAAGGATATAGAAAAGCAGTGGTGTATATTTAAACAAATTGATAGGCTGTAGTGCAGCTTTCAGAGTGAACTCGGAATGATCTACCTCATAAAGCCATGTATGAGTACATCGTCTTTCTATTCATAGATCCTGATTAACCTTAAAGGCACTGATTTCTTAGTAATCAAAGTCTTAACAGCAATGCACCCTTACAAAACAAATGGTTGCAACAGTATTTTATTAGCTTCATATAGTTTTAAAGTTTTCCATGTAGTTTGGTCTACTTAGAAATTACATCTCTTCCCTTGCACACAGCAAATCAGCGCCTTTCATATTCTTCAGTTGGAGGCATATTGAGGTTAATTTTTATTTGAAAGGAAGGTCGTTGACCAGACATATGGTAAAATAATTGTGTGTGTGCTTCTGATTTCCTAATCTCAAGTGCAAAAATGTATATTGTTGTTGATCTCTCTTTTTTTTAATGAATTTCCACCTGGCTGCTGTTCTCGGTTGTGTCAGGGGTACCAGATGCAGTACCAGAAGTCTAAGCATTACACACATTGCTCCCTCAGAACTTCTTTCATACACAAACATTTTTTTTTAAAAGGGAAAAGGTTCCCCTATGCTCTCTGGAGTTATAGGGGAATCATTTTATCATGCCTCTCCTTAGGCATTTTAAGCCTTTGGTGGGGGGAGGGGGATCCAAAACCAGAAATGACCCAAACTCGTTTCTCTAAAGCTCATTTCTAGGTTTTTTTTTAAAGCTTTAAGAAGGTAAAATTCCCAGAAATGTTGAATGAATCTGTTGGATGTACGTAGGGCAGTAATATATTATACTGATAGGACTAAGGAAGCTTTTTCAGAATAATTACAAATTGTTTTAATTTTTAAAATTTACTTGTTCTTACAAGTGGAATTGCTACACAAGGTCCCAAACTATATGGAACATTTTTGGTTTTTCCAGTTAATGAGCACAAGTAAAATTCCCAATTAAAAAAAACAGGAAACCAACATGAGCACAATATTGGGGGGGGGGGGGTCTCATTACTTCTCCATAGGGAAAAACACACATTATATACTAATTCACATAAATAAAACTGAGAAAAGGAAAATATGACTAGAGATYGATAGAATCATAAAGTTGGAAGAGACCACCAGGGCCATCCAGTCTAACCCCTTGCCATGCAGAAACATACAATCAGAGCACCACCAAAAGGTGACCATGCAGCCTCTGCTTAAAATGTTCAGTGAAGGAGACTCCATCACAGCATATTACACAACTGTGAGAGAAATAAAGGTGGACACTGTGAAAGCCATCCACTGCATAGCTATCAGCCTCCTCCCAGTAGACATAAATCAAGGAAAAGTTTCATTAGAATCACCACTCCTTTTAATGTTTCCCCAGCAACAGCAAGAGTAGAATAGACTCAGAAGTGCAGTTGGCAGATCAAAAAACAACCTGGCCAAATGGCACTACCTAGAAGAATCCTCCACCTTGTGTGACTGTAGAGCAGACCAAACAACTCAGCATCTGCTTGACCACAATGCCCTGCCTCATACAAAGAGGAAGAATTATTTAAAGCTACAGACAATTCAATAGCTGTTGCCCGTTTTTGGTCTAAAATTATTTAGTCGCTAGGCTTCCCTCTATTTAATCAGTTTTATACTAATTTATTTCTGCAATGCTTTTGAACAGCTCTTACCACCAAAAAGTTCTTCCTAATCTTTAGGTGGAATCCCCCCCCCCCCCCCCCCAATTTGAATCCAGTTGCTCTATCCTAGCTCAGCAGAAAACAACGTCCCCCCTCCCTCAATTATAATTGTTTATCGTTTGATCTGTATACTGAACTAGCCTTCCACTATAATTCTTCTTACTTATGCGGGGGCATCGATTTTTAGAAAGTATTCATTATTCTAAAGAAAGGAGATTATTGTTGTTGGGCTGCTGATTGAGTTGGTTAATCGTTCATTGAATGTCAAGATCCACCGCCCCCCCCCAAACACACACACACAGTGTTGTCCATTGGTGGTGGTTGGGGGGGGGGTATTAGTAGAAACAAGAAATGTGATCTGTAAATATGTTACAGTAGAAGTTTTAAAGGGAGGGGGACACCTGCTGGTCCCACTCATAGGACACAGCATGGTGAATCTAAGATCACATGGAGCACTCTCAGGGGAAACTTGAACGCTCTATCATGAGGAGCGTCCGAACGAAAGAGCAAAGAAACTACGAGCACACATTATAACCGTAATAAATGCAAAAATTTGTGTGTATGGCGATCTACACCGTATGATCACAAGACTATTATGGGAAGCAGATGGTTTATATTTCAATCCATCAGAGGCACACATAAGTCATTAACATTATCTAAATATCAAGGGTCATGAAATAACCCTGATTATATAAATATGAATCTATTGGTTATTCAGAAGTTACAGAAAGTGTAGCGCAGCACTGGATAAAATCGTATATAAGTATCACTATCCTAGACTCAGCATAAGGAAAGTATCGTGCGACCCATCAAGTCAGCGTGGATATGGGATTTACGGGGGGGGCACGACAACATACTATTTATTCCAATACTTTTTTGTCAGTTTGCAGAGACTGCTGCAATTTTCTAACATTTGTCATGAACAGAAGCTCAATTCTTTAGGAGAAAAGACAGCTGACGTCTTTATTTTTCTCTTTAGAGGAGTTATTTCATATGACTTTCAATCACTGTCAAAATATTATGATAACCTGTACTATGTATGACAAGTGTATTACTTCACTTTTATGAGCAATTACCTCATCAAACTCAGATTTTGAGACAAAAATATAATATTCAAAGTGACATTGGGTTTTTTCCATTGATGATTAATAGGACATGTTACTTCATTCTCTTTAAAATATCACTTCTATGAATGTTCTGAAACCTTTGTCAGACCAAGGCAACTGTTGACCACTTTCTTTTTAAGGTTACCACTCTTCATGCTGCTTTGGAGCAAGAAAGATCTAAAGTCAAATTACTTCAAGCAGAGTTAACAAAATATCAGGTAACTGAAAAGATAATTCATATATTAGTTCTTAAGATGAGAGGATAAGGTAAAGGGAGGCGGGGGGGATCTTTGGCCATTTCACTTCTCTATAGCCACCTATATATCTGAGAGATCCTCCTTGGTTTGGACTGTGGGAATTTCTGGGATGAAAGAAAATTGCCCTCAAATTGAGTTAAGAGATGATAAAAGTTTTCTTCAGTGAACATCCTTAGGATCCAGGTCTTTGTTGTTTTGAAAGTATTAAAGTGTGCTTTAAAAGCATGTTTTTAAAATATGGAAAATATTCAAAAAGTGTCTTGCATATTTTCCATATTTTGAAAGTATGCTTTTAAAGCACACTTTCAGTTTCCTCTTACGTTAAGTGTACTGAATGCGAGTTGTTGCATCATGGGTACATTTTATCTCAGAACTGTATAGATTTTTCTGAGACAGGTTCCATAGATATCTAACTGGGTTCCTTAGCATTTGATGTCATCAGTCTGCTCCTGGTGATGGGAACATAGCCAGATGTTTGTCTGATTGTGACTGTCAGGCTGTCACTGCAACAAGATAGTAAGTCTTGATGGCATCATTTCAGAGGAAGAAGAGAATACTAACCATCACCTCAACCTAAAAAATACATGCACAAATGTATCTTACATTGGCATAGACGAGTAACAGAATGCTGCCCTGAATGTATTGGGATTTCTAAAAAAATAGTTTTAGAAAGGTAACTCTTCCAAACAGCTGGAATAAATGAAGAGCCTGCTTATTGCCATCAGTGTCAAAGAAAACATAATAGATTCTGCATTTTCCTTGCTTCATTTTAAGCAAGGATAACTCCTTTGTCAAGCTATTAGTTTTCAAATTGAAAAACAAATAGTATGAATGTCCTATTTGTGTATTGCATTACAAGAAAATCAAGCCATGTTTACTTCCTCAGCCAAAAAAAAAAACTATAGATTTTTCTCTCTCGAATGATCTTAGTCTACTTCCACTCAGTCTTGTGTCTGTGTCTACATTAATCTACAATAAAAGGTGGTTGGAGTTTATTTTGCTGATGGAGGACACCCATAGTCCAAATGAGGAGAGTGACAGTTCCCTCTTCTGACTGCAGTTTCTCTCAACACACAATGGGTGCTTTTACATTGTAGAATTTAGTTACTTTGATATCACTTTAGCTCCCATGAACCAATGCTGTTGAACCATGGAGTTTTATAAGACCTTTATAAAAGCTAAATACTTGGATATTCCGATGTGCTTTTGATTAATCAGTTCACTAGATAATTTTGGACCACCCAGCTATAATTTAGTATCTGGCTCCTGCACTTTACCATCATCCCTGTATTTTACCATCGTCCCTGCCCTTTATTTGTGCTTCACAAATTGACTTGGCCTGTTTAGCCCATACTTACTACCCGGCTTCTGCACTTTTCTATCAGCCCTGTCCTTGCAACTGTTTTGCACAAACCTCTGCCTCTCCCCTCAGCTCAGTATATGAGCTCTAGGTTAGGCTGTTGGTTGCTTTGATGGTTGATTGTTGATGGTTATGTTTTATGATGTTTTGTATTTGAATCTTACTGTGCTCTATTTTAATTTCTGTCTGGGCTTGGTCCCCATGTAAGCCGCCCCGAGTTGCTTTGTGGCGGGCTCCAAAAATAAAGTTATTGTATTATTATTTAGCCTTCTCTACCACAGAGTGCTGGTGCTTCACCAAAGTACAAATCCCAGGATTTCTTAGCATTGCGCAATGGCAATGGTGTCAAACCGTAGAGTGTAGACAGATCCAGTTAGAGGAACCCTCTAATTATCCAGTTCCAATTTGAGAGAAGATGTATTGGGAACGGGGAATTAGTGCAAACCACCCCTTCCTCATTCTGCTGATGAATAGACAGTTCTTGAATTACTACCCAAGTATTTGAGGATAATATAAACCCTGCTAAAGCTTCCATGCATTCACTCATCTACCTGCCAATACTGAGTACTCCTCTCTGATTTGGTGAATGTTCCTTTGCTTTCTGATGAAAAGATGAACCCTTCCAGTGTAAATCTGAGGAGAGTATGGATGATTCCTTTTTTCTTCCACTCCTTAAAAGACCCGTCTTCTGCTTCTATAATGCATCTTCTGCTTTCTAGACAAAACTGTGGAGAGAATACACTCATTTTTTGAAAAAGCAGCTTCCTTCCTCATCAGCTTTGTAATAAGCAGTAGCAATAAAGAAAAAATGCCGGCACTTCTTTACAAGCATCCTATTCATGTGCAGAATGCTTTATATTCTATTGGTACTTAATTTTTTATAACATTTGTGTCTACCCCCCCCCTTTTTTTTTTTTTACAGGGTGGAAGAAAAGGAAAGAGAAATTCAGAGTCTGACCAGTGCAGGTGATCACAATTGCAGTGTGAAGGAAAAAAAAAAAAAAAGAGAGAGAGAGGGGTCTTCAGGGTTTTGCAGAAATGTATATTTGTAATTACTGCTTAACTATGCAGTTTTGGGAGGGGATTGGGAGTAAAGTTTAATTGACTAATCTGAATATTCAGTTTATTGTACTTCTAGTGTAAAGAAGAGAAGCTGGAAACTAATATTACAGTGCTGCTCAAAACCTAGTTTGTTCTAATGCTACATCTAGTTTTTCATCAGTCAATAAAATGTTTTGCCATTTTTCTGGTCCTAGTGTGTATACATCTGTAGTTGGTAATGAGATTTTGATCTTCAAATCAGATTGGTCTTAATAACTGGATGCCCCCCTCATTCACAACTATTTGATTCTTTGGTTTTTTCACACATCACAAACTGATAAAGCTACTTGTATTGCCAATGGAAATTGTAAGAAACACAAAGCCAACAAAGCCTCATAGCATGAGATCAGGAACAAGAACTGACACTGAGTTTGGAAGACTATTATGTAATGATGTAACTGTTTTCAACCTCATCTTTCAGTCCCTAGGTACAATATGACTGTCTAAGGTTATATACAAAACAAATGGAAACTCCCTTGGCATTTTGAAACATAAAGTTTGAAAAAGTATTTGATAATGTTCCGTTCTAGAAATTGAGGAAATTTTAATCAAAAGCAACTATTGAAATGGTTTCATTACCTTTTTTTCGTGTCAGGAGTGACTTGAGAAACTGCAAGTTGCTTCTAGTGTGAGAGAATTGGCTGTCTGCAAGGATGTTGCCCGGGGGCCGCCCAGATTTTTTTTTTTGATGTTTTGCCATCGGTATGGGAGACTTTTCTCATGTCCCCACATGGGGAGCTGGAGCTTACAGAGGGAGCTTATCCGTGCTCTCCCCAGATTCGAACTTCCAACCTGTCAGTCTTCAGTCCTATCAGCACAAGGGTTTAACCCATTGTGCCACTGGGGACTCCTGTTTCATTAGCTTAGTTATCAGTTTTAGTCACTGTTTAAAATATTAATTTGGAGGCACATCATTGGATTTATAGAGTATGGCATGGTAATTTTCATTGTTGAATATAGGGGCATATTTTGTTGTCTCATTTTGAACATTAGAACTTTTTCAGCTGTTTTACAAAGCCCATAATGATTGTTTCCAGGGAATGGCAAATCCTAAAGCATTTACAACTTTACAAGATCACTTACGTGCATTTCCTCTCTTTCCTAACATATATTTTATACTATCTCTTAAAATGCCTTGTTTCTTAAAGGTTATAAAGGAATTATGTATTTTATTTAGAAGAGAATGAGCCATTGTTAGAATGGCAATACAGTGTTCCCTCACCTATCGCGGGGATTCAGTTCCAAGAACCCCTGTGATAAGTGAAAAACAGCTATGTAGGGACGCTATACTGTATATGTACAGTATAGCTCCGCTCACTCCTCTCTCCCCCTCCTCCCTCTCTCTCTTCCTCTCCTTTTTCCCTCTCCCTTCGTCCCTCCCCTTGCTGGAGCCACTCTTCTCCCTCCCTCCCTGCTTCCCCACTGGCATGGGGCTCTCACCTGGTGCTCCCTGGCTACTTGTATTTTAAATTATTTTTTTTGAAAAGCCGCAAAACAGCAAGTCCACGGTTAGCAAACATGGATAGTTAAAACAACAAGTGAGTGAATGAAGCATTTGGAAATTTCTTAGAAAAAAATGTTTTGAGATCCTCTGAGCATATGCAGAACATTTTGCAACTGTATCACTGCTGCTTCCATGCTCACAATGAAGACAGCACATGTTTTGCATGCAGGAAGCATGAATCCCAAATTAAATCTATAGCGTCTTCAACTTAAATTATGTTAGTTAACAAGGCCACTGTTGTCTGCTCCTATCTTGCCTTAAGTAGATGAAACAGAGTGGGTAAAAAGTAGGTTAGGAGGAGTCGGGAAAAAGAAAATAGCCAAGAGAGAAGGAAAGTGGGAAGGAATGAGGAAAACTTTCCATTTAATTACCAAATTGCATACCACTATGAGAAGCAATACAATTATGAGTCACTGTAGCTCGGTCCAAATAATATTATACTAATTTGTATATTATACAACAATACACACCAGAAACAAGTCCAGAATATAATCAGCAGAGACTCACAATGCACCTGTGCCCCTAAGAAAGACTAGTTTTCATACAAACCCAATGTAGAAGGAAACCCCGGGAGGGTGGGGGTGGGGGCAAAGGACCTGATACCTGATTCTGAAAGAGATCTAGTTGATTAAGAGCCTCTTTATTTCATTCTTAAGTGTCTACTCCTTGTGCCTTCTTTTGCTCTGTTTCTGCCCTCAAAATTACCTACAAGCCTAACAGCACAGCTATGTGATCCATTTCCTCCAATCTTAGTACAGTACTACTACTGAAGCACCAGAAAGGGAGAGGCATCCAGTAAAATTAATAATAACCTAGTTCAGCTATAGATATAGATATGTATGAGAGAGAATGATTATTGCTTGGGAGGCATTAATAGTGTATTAGGAAAAACAATTAAAAGGTTCGTCACCATTGATTATCTGGTTATTTTGCAGCTCTGCTTTGAAATTGTGTAATACTTTTCTCTGTGTGGTTCTTTTCTAGTCTTCACTTTTTTGGTAAAGTCCCCAGAGTCTAGTCATATTAACCTGGACATTCCACTTGCTCTGTTGAGCCTATTTCCAAATATATATTGCATAGAATTACAGCTAACTGAGGCCAGATTGACTCTAACCAATACTCCAGGGCCAGTCCAGTGTGCCTGTAGTCTCTATTGAGAAAGGGGAGAAACTCCGCAGCCCAGTGGCACCAAACTTGGTTCAGTGCTGCTGTGCAGCCCCTCTTCCTGAACCCCCTGCCCTCTGTTGTGGTGAGTCCCTCTCCGGAGGTGAGAAGGATGGGGTATAAATTCCCAAAATAACTATCGGGCCACAACGCAGGTCCTACCCACCCATTGTTGCATGCAGTGACATTGGATGGGGAAGAGAACGAGTCTTCCCCTCTCTTCTCAGAACACCCTGTCATGCTGGCCGCCATCACTGCCAGCAACAACAGACAAGTTGGTTCCATGTTGCGGCCGGAGACAGCCATGAAGTGGAATGTGGGGGAGGAAGGGGACTGTCATCCTGTGTCCTTGAGCCCCAGAAACATGGGATGGCAGTGGGACAGCTGATTCCATTTCGGAATCCACAGGTTCAAAGTTGGGCCAAATGCTGAACACGTGAATAGTTTTATATAGTGTGGTTTGATTACTTCGTGTGTTTAACTGTAATAACTGCTTTTATTTGTTTTAACTATGATTTTATTATGTATAACTGTAACTGTATAGGCATCATATGGTTCCTTGTTATGTAAGCCGCCCTGAGTCCCCCCTCGGGGGTTGAGAAGGGCGGGGTAAAAGTAACGGAAATAAATAAATAAATAAAGTCTTGACTTTGGGTAATGCAGAGCAACACGTTAAGGAGGTCTTGTCCCATATTACCCTAAATCAGCTTTAATACAGCTTTCTGTGGGGTTGATCTGGTTCTACATCAACCCAAGATGGTTGTCATTGGCACCTAAATCATTGAAATTGTGACGGGGCTCCTATGACCCCTCCTTCTGAGCCAAGTTAAAAGCACAATTATAGTAGCAGGCAGAAAGCTAGTATGTCATACTGGCAATTACGGAGTCTATAGATAAAGAGGGCTTTAAATCATGTTGAAATGCTATCATCAATATTATCCAGAGATTATGGGAACTGTAGCAAAATTCACCACTCATGCTTAACATGGATGTAAAACTGTAGGAGCATGGTGAGTCACAAGTGCTCAAGGATGAAAGTAAAACCATGCATTTATTTCCTTTCCTGTAATGGCTTCCTGAGAGGAGACAAAGGGAAATGGAAGATGCTGCTGCTACTTTTCTATCTGTACTGATTTCAAGGGTGAGCCACCCACGCAGTAATTTTATTGGCATCACTCAAGTAATTGAAAGTTGAGATGTAATGCAGGCAAAGAGAGTATATTCCTGACCCATGGTCCATTTTTGGTATTTTTTTTCTTTTATTAACATTTCTTAATACATTTTCATTGCATTGTTTACATTTATTTCAGTTGCGTGCAAATATTCATAAATCTTTTATACAAACATGTGTAAATCCTATTATGAGTATTACACTTATTTTCATTTGGTGCTAGTACATCTAGGACATTTTGTATCCAGCACTCCTAGCTATTATTAATTCTTTTGTTTATATCTTAATCTTTTACATAGCCTTTATCTTATTGATATTTACATCTAGATTTTAAGCAAATAATAATAATAAATAAAATAAAACTCCTGTGTTGTCCCTCCCATCATCCAACTCCCCGACCACATTTCCATTATATTGTTAATCAACCCATGGTTCTTAATCTTTTTTATTTACTTTATCTATAGGCTCCGTAATTTTTATTTATAACTAGCTTGGGGACCCGGCGTTGCCCGGGTTATTAGAGAAAGTGGGTAATGGCAGTTCTGTATGCCAAGTTT